ATTTATGGAAAAGAATAATGTTGTATCTCTATCTTGCAACATATACAAAAATATATTCCAGTAGTTTAAATAAATAGTTTAAAGATTTAAATGTGAAAAGTAAAACTAACACTTTTTAAGAAAACTAATGAGAGAGAGTATCCTCATGATCTCAAGGTAGGAAGGAAAGAATTTCTTAAGTAAAACAACCAAACCACAAACCATAAAGGAAATGATTGATAGATTTTACCACATTAAAACGTGAAATTTTAGTAACAAAGGGCACTCAAGAAGATTTAAAAGCCACATACTGGGAAAAGATATTTGTAATGAATATAACTGGAAAAGGATCAGTACCTGGAATTTAGAAATAAGTTCTGCAGAAAGAAAGGAAGGGAGAGGAAGGGGGAGGGGGGGAGGAAGGGGCAGGTGGGGAAGGAAGGAGGAAAGGAAAATAAAGGATATGGACAGGCAATTCATAGAAGAGAAAGTGTGTGTAGTCAATAAACATAAGGAGAGTTGCTCTGTCTTTCTAGTAATCAGGAAAAGCAAGTTTTTAAAAAAAGAGATCTTATTTTTTGTCCGTGAGATTGGCAGTACTTAAAAAAGAAGTCTGATTGTTTCACGATAGCCAAGAGGTGGAAACATCCCAAGTATCCTTTGACGAATGAATGGATAAGCAAAATGCAGTACATATAAACAATGGAATATTTTTCATCTTTAAGAAGGAAGGAAATTCTGTCACATACTGCAGCCTGGATGAACCTTGAGGACATTATGCTAAATGAAGTCAGTCAGTCACAAAAAGATAAATACTGTAGGATTCCTTTTATATGATTCTATTTATAAATACTGTATATACCTCTAGATTAGTTGGATTCATAGAAAACAAAGTAGGAGGCTGGCTGCCAGGGGCTGGGGGAGGGGGAACAGCTAATTGTTTAGTGGGGACAGAGTTTCAGTTTTGCAAGGTGAAAAAGTTCTGGAAGTTGGTTGCACAACAATGTGAATACACATAACGCTACAGAAATGTATACTTCAGAGGTTGAAGAAGGCTAAGACGGTTATGTGTATTTTATCACAAGTAAAAACTAAAAGAAGAACCTGACCGTATGAAACCTTGGTGAGGATGTGTTGACGACAGTAACTTTCAGAACTCCTGCCCACAGGTGGTGGGATATAAATTGGGATAGCCACCCTGGGGAGCAATTTGCTATCGTCCAATCAGTGGGGAAAAGTCCGTATTCTGATCCTTAGCTCTACTTCAAGGTGTCCACCCTAGAGGAGAATCTCACCGGTGTGGGAGAGGAGACCTGTACAGGGTTCACAAGAGTGTCATTTATAACAGCAAAAAAAATGGAGATGAGGTAAACATCTATCCATCAGACTGAGAATGTGTGATGCAGGCATAGAGAACAGACTTGTGGCTGCTAAGGGGGAGAGGGGTGTGGGAGGGGTGGATTGGGAGTTTGGGACTAGCAGATGCAAACTATTATATATAGAATGGATAAACAACAAGGTCCTACTGTATAGCACAGGAAACTATATTCAATATCCTGTGATAAACCATAAAGGAAAACAATATAAAAAAGAATATATATGTATGGTTGAATCACTCTGTTGTATAGCAGAAATTAACAGAATGTTGTAAATCAACTAGACTTCAATTTAAAAAGATCTATCCACAATACAAAATAGATAACCAACAAGGATCTACTGTATAGCACAGGGAACTATACTCAATATCTTATAATAACCTATATTGGGAAATAATCTAAAAAAGATATATATATATATATATGTAAAACTGAATCACTTTGCTGTACACCTGAAATTAACACAACATTGTAAATCAAATATATTTCAATAAAATTTTTTTAAAAATCTAAAAAAAACAAACCTGTACTCCTACAGTGAAGCACTACCTGCACCACTGACTACACCTCAAAAGCAGCATTGACTAGAAGGAAGCACGTGGAACACCATTAGGAACTTTCATGAGTACAGAAGTAGTACAGGTAAAATACTGTGCCTGGTGATGGTTGACAGCAAAGTTAGGAGAGCAATTCTGGAGGGGAGGAGAGGGGTACTAGATAAGAGAAGGGTGTATTGGGGGCTTTGGCTAAGCACCTGTACTATTTTATATCTTTGGAAAGCAATTTGAGACATGCGACAAGGTAGAGTCGGCCCTCTGTATCCGTGGGTTCCATATCTGAGGATTCAACCAACCAGGGATTGGGGAAAAAAAAAAATTCCAGGAAGTTTGAAAGAGCAAACCTTGAATTTGCCTTGCTGACAGCTATATTTACATAGTGTTTTTGTTGTGTTGGGTATTATAAGTAATCTAGAGATGATTTAAAGTATAGGGAGGATGTGCGTAGTTCGTATGTAAATACTACACCATGTTATATGAGGGATGTGAGCATTCATGGATCTTGGTATCCGTGGGGAGTCCTGGAACCAGTCCTTAAGATGAGAGCTAAGTGGTGGGTACTTAAAATTCTGTTACCTTATTTGCTGTGCTTTGCTGTATGTTTGGAAGATACTGCATTGTGTCTTTAAGAAGACTTTAAATGATCGAGTGAGGCTAAGTCAGTGGTTTTCTGACTATTTCTCAGCATGCAGTCCTGATCTGCAACAGTGATGCATTTTTATAAAATGGTGAAGATTTTAACCGCCCGAGGAAGCTGTGTACCTATTTTTAAAGTGAGTTTTGTAGTTTGGTGTCCTCGTAAGATTTCCTTTGAAGGAAGGAGTTTTGCTTTAAAAAAAAAGAAAAGGAAAAAGGCTAAAAGCCCTGAATGAGCTGATTTCTGAGATTCCCTTTTTCCCCATTAATCTGTAGTCCTAGGAGCTAATGTCTCAGAGGAATGAACTCACTTTCCTTGCCTCTAAAAGATTCTGACATTTGAATTAGCTCTTTCCTGTTAATCGTATTTATTGAGGGCTCACCCTTCCTCCACAGGGAATATTCAGTAGTTCCAGGTTCTGGTTCTCTGGGCTGCAAAGATCTTCTGATAACTCAGGGTCCATGTTGGATGAGCCAGGTGATTCCTGGACTGTTGGACCTGGAACGGTTAAGCAAGCCTTTCTGGCTCAGTCGTGTCATGGGGTGGGGGGGCTGCGGGGGTGCTCAGGAGATATGAGCCCTCAGCCCAAGGGCTCACTCAGATCCCCTGAGGTGCTTAGCAGAAGTCAGCCGGCCCTGACCACCTCTTAACACATCTTGTATTTTGTTCTGTAGAGCAGCACCCTGAGTGAGCGTTAGTACCCCCTGTAATTCAGAGTAGAAAGCTCTCTTGCTTAAACCCTCCCACGGTTCCCATCTCACTCAGGATACAGTCTTTGCTGTGAGCCTTGAAACTGTGCCGACTTCTCTGGCTTTTTATTTTTTTCTTTTAAATCTGCACTCTTAACCTTATACTTTTTTTTTTTTTTTTTCCCGGTACGTGGGCCTCTCACTGTTGTGGCCTCTCCCGTTGCGGAGCATAGGCTCCGGACGCACAGGCTCAGCGGCCATGGCTCACGGGCCCAGCTGCTCCGCGGCACGTGGGATCTTCCCAGACCGGGGCACGAACCCGTGTCCCCTGCATCGGCAGGCAGACTCTCAACCACTGCGCCACCAGGGAAGCCCTAACCTTATACTTTTTAAAAAGTATATATTTATTTATTAATTTGGTTGTGCCAGGTCTTAGTTGCGGCAGGCGGGCTCCTTAGTTGCGGCATGCGTGTGGGATCTAATTCCCTGACCAGCGATTGAACCCGGGCCCCCTGCATTGGGAGCGCGGAGCCTTAACCACTGCTTTCTGGCCATTTTTTTGAATCCACTTCTCCTTGTTCGCTGGGTTCCAGTCACTCCTCCCTGCCCTCCTGTTTGTGCCTAGGACATGGCTGGTGATTCCTGCCTCAAGGCCTTTGCACTTTCTCACTCCTCTGCCTCATGTGCTCTTGGCTGCTGGTCTTCATTTGCACCCAGGCTCAGAAGTCACCTTCTTAGAAAGACCTCCTCAGGCTATGGACTCTCTCACAAGCTACTCTGCTGCCCAGAAGTCTCTCTCCAGCTCGTTATCCTGTTTTATTTTTTATTTCCTCGACAGCCCTTATTATGCTCTCAAGTTATTTTATTTGAGAACTGATCTCTATCTGCCGTTCTCGGTCTCTGTGTGTTTGTATCGGCCCATCAGGATAAGCGGTCCACAGGCCACCGTCACTGTGTCTGTTCGGCATCACCAGCATTTAGAGCAGGGCTAGAAGATATTAGGTACTTGTGTCAGGGATCCTCAGCCTCACCCTCAGGTTTGGTGATTTGCTAGAAGGACTCACAGGACGTAGCGTATAATCCTACTCACAGCTAAAATCTATTTCAGCCAAAGGACACAAAGCAAAATCAGCAAAGGGAAGAGGTGCATGGTGTGAAGTCCAGAGGAAATCAGATGCTAGGTTCCAAGAGTCCTCCTGCTGTGGAGTCTCACAGGACAGACTTAGTTCTCCCAGTACCGAATCGTGACAACACGTATGAAATGTAGCCAGGGAAGCCCATGAGATGCTCTCTGCCTGGGGTTTTTCCTGGGAGCTGGCCACGTAGGAACCCCCTGCTTAGCGTGCTCTGAAATTTCAGACTCCCAGAAGAAAGCAGGTGCTGAGCCGGAAGCACACTGTTCGTCCAGTCCAGGCGTGGGGAGCCCTTCCTGTCCCTCGGGAAAGTTTTGTATCAGTCCAGGGAACTGCTTACTGTTCACGTTCCCAGACGCCAGCTAAGGGTCAACTTGCAAGCAGGCCTTTCTAAGGATGGAAGTCTCAGGCCTGCTCTGGTGGCTCTTTCCTGTACACTACTTAAGAAATGTTTGTGAACGAATGAATCAACTCAGCGGGGCCTGTGGAATCAGACCTCAAGACCCCTGAAAGCCAGAGGGTGTGACCTCCCCTCCCTTGTCAACAATCCTTCCCCCAGACAGACGGAGGCGAGTTTGTCCTTCCTCCTGCCCTCAGACCTTTGGTAATCGTGGCTCTGTGGTCCCCAGGTGTTGAAGCACAACGGGTCATCAGAAATTCTCAACAAGCTGTATGACACGGCCATGGACAAGCTGGAGGTGGTTAAGAAGGACTACGACGCCCTGCGGAAGAGGTATAGCGAGAAAGTCGCCGTCCACAGCTCGGACCTGAGCCGCCTGGAGCAGCTAGAGGAGGAGAACCAGCGCCTTCTGAAGCAGACGGAGATGCTGACCCAGCAGAGGGACACGGCCATCCAGCTGCAGCACCAGTGCGCCCTCTCCCTGAGGAGGTAGGAGCCTAGGCCATCAAGGAGGGGAGTGAGCGAGCTGGCCTGTTTCTCGCACTCAGAGAATGGCCAGAGGGCCGAAGCATCCTCTCTGCCGGGGGCCACTCTCCTCTGTGGGCTTGTGGTTACCTATCTGCAAGGCTCTCCGCCACTTTCTGGGGGGTAAAAAAAAAAAAAAAAAAATAAGCAATTGAACTTTTTCAATCAAAATTACTTACGTCCAGGAAACATTTTCCTGACACTGTCTTGGCACTTGTGCTCCTTCCTTTCTTCCATCTGAGCGACTCGGGCGTGTTCTGACCGTCCTGTGTCTCAGGTCACCCCACAAGCCTCTCCCCTCTGTGTCAGTCACCCACCTGGCAGATAGGAAAGTTAATTGTCCTAGGCATTGTTCTTCTAAAGTTGCACTTTCTATTAAGGTAGATAATCTGTAGGGATGTGACCCCTGCCCTGCAACAATGTTTCTTAAGGTACGTTCCTGCAGAATACCTGTTCTCTGGGGTGCTTATCAGGTTTATATGAAAAGCGTTCTCTGGCTTTAAAAGGGTTTGGGAATTGCCGGGTTGCACACAAACAGGTGTCTGTGCTGCAGGACTTCTCAGAACCTTTACTCCGATACTGTGCGCTAGAATCTCCCAAGAGGGAACAGAATGCAGTGTTTTTCCCAAACATCAATCATCAGAGGCACACTTTTTGGTTTCTAAGGAACCCACACTCAGAAATGCTGCTCTAGAGCTGCAGGCTGTAATTTGCAGGGCCGCCTGCATGGCAGGTGCTTCCTGGCCTGGAAGGACCGAGCGGTGCTCTCACGCTAACCTGGAGGCGTTGGGCCAGGCACCTGTGTCTCGAGGCCTTATCCCCTGTATCTGTAAAATGAGGTGCTCAGACTCAACGATTGTTCAGGCCACTTTTGTCTTTCAAGGCTGTGATTCTAGCTTTGTTTTGTTCTTATTTTTAAAGGTAACGTAGCCTGACTGTGGAAGAAATAACACTGTTATTTCCAGTAGAGCAGAGGGCATGAAATTCTCAGTCCATCTTCCAGTATTTGTAAAAGGCTGAGAAAAATTCCCGGTCCAGGGGTCCTGGTCCTTCATCACTTTTCTCTCTTGGGGGTGTGGAGAATGACCGCGTTCAAAACTTCACGCTCGACTGTCCGGCGCGGCAGAGCTGGCTGGGCAGGTCCCCACGCCCTCGTCCTGGCTGCCTCTCTCCGCCAGGTTCGAGGCCATCCACCACGAGCTGAACAAGGCCACGGCCCAGAACAAGGACCTGCAGTGGGAGATGGAGCTGCTGCAGTCGGAGCTGACGGAGTTGAGGACCACACAGGCGAAAACCGCCAAGGAGTCAGAGAAGTACAAGGAGGAGCGGGATGCGGTGTACAGCGAGTACAAGCTCATCATGAGTGAGCGCGACCAGGTCATCTCCGAGCTGGACAAGCTGCAGACCGAGGTGGAGCTGGCCGAGTCCAAGCTCAAGAGCAGCACGTCTGAGAAGCAGGCGGCCAGCGAGGAGATGGAGGCGCTGCGACAGGTAGGAAGGTGGCGAGGGGAAAGAGGGCTGTGACACCCAGGTGTCCAGAGGAGCAGGGAGCAGCCTTCAGCCTGCTGCTGCCTGGGCTATTGGATGCCTCCTGGGTAACTGCTGAGCTCACACTCGGTGCCCAGCTCTATTCGGGCTGCAGGGGACACAGGTGAGGTTCAGCTGTGGTCCTGGGTGTCCGGAGCTGACAGCTGATGTGATGGTAGATCAGTCTTTTGCTGGAAGTCAGCTCAAGGGCTTGTTCCTTAAGAAGCAAGATCCCAGGGCCACGTTCCCAAAGCCATAGGTACCTTTGGCCTTATGAGTCTGGAAGGGCACACTCAGTGTTCCTTCACCCCAACACCTGAGGAGTCTGCTCTTTAGAGGGGTGGTCTGGGCTCCTGGGAAGCTGTTCTACTAGGTTGAGCCCAGTACTCTTCTCAAGCCTTGCTCCCTGGGGGGGGGGGGGGGCATGCCTCCAGGGTCAGGGGAGTGGCGCTCAGCAGCATCGGGATTGAGGCACTGAGCTTGACTCCCGAGTGATCAGTGGGGATTCTCTGCATCTTTCCTACCTGACCAGCCAGGCCTCATCAGTGACGCTGCTTACCCCCAAGACCAGGTGTGCCCTGCTGGGGCTTGGACAGGCCTGTGGACTCCCCTCTTTGAGACCGCCTTCCCATTCGGTTAGTTTGTGTGTGGCTCTGTTTCGAGCTGCTGAACTTGATCAGAGCAGACTTTCTTCCCGTCGGAATAGTTCTCTGTTCATACCTCTCCGTTCTACTTGGTGCAGGTCAGTTAGAATGAAGGCTTTAAAACTGGCCTGTGAGAAGTGAAAAGCAAGGTGTTAAAGGTCCGGCAGCTTAGTAAGGGACGGTGTGTGTGTGGATTGTTGAAGCTAGGGCCCTCTGGACCGAGCATGAGGCAGGGCTGATGCCCGAGGGGCGGCCAGGGCCTCGTGGGCCTCTCTGTGGACTGTGATGCTGCCTGATGCCCAGGCCGTGCTGGGGACTGTGTTTGGAGTGTGGACCTCCTCAGCCATGTGACCTCTTACCTCTCCTAGCTCTCTGGGCCTCAGTCTCCTTACCTACAAACTGGAAATGATGACAGCATCTGCTTCACAGTGTGGTCATGATGATCAGATGGTTTAACATTGAAAACACACTTAGGATAATATCTGCATAAAGTAGGAATGATTTGAGTCTTTATTATTAGGATTATTTTTATGCCCATCTGAACCTTACTACCCTGTTAGGATTAGGGTGCATCCTATAAGATTGTTTTCATAAGCAAAAATGGGCCAAACAGCAATAATTTCATACAAAGGGAGTGAGACTTCTCCAGACCATCAAGGTGAAAGCCATTGTGAAAAGGAATATTTTCTTTGATGCAATTTTTAAAAGACTGGAATGAAGAAATTCTTAATGAGCAAATATAATGTGTTAGGACTTGGTAATTGCCCTGGAGAAAATGTCACCTCACTTTCACATTCTGGTTTGAGAGCTTAATTGTTGGGGAAAATGTTGATACCAAATAACGAAAACAAAATGATGAAGAATAAAACATTAAAAATGCCTGAGTCGGTCAGTAAGCTAAAAAGTCGAGGACAGTGTGTTAAACCCGTAGAAGGTGGTGAGCCTGTGATAGGCCAGCAGCCCCCTAGAGGGGGCTGAGATGATGGATGCCCCCCAGGGAGCAAGGGGGGCAAAGAGCAATCGTGCTCTTTGTGGGAATGTGGAAGCACAGAGGAGGAGGAAGACCCCCGACTGCCCCGTGGTGCCAGATCTGGTGGCCTGTGTCACCCCCCTCCCGTTGCTCATGTGTGCCTCCCGCCTGGAGCCCGGTTCGCGGGCCTCGGCAGGAGTGCCCTGGCAGCGTGTGAAGTCTGCCTGTCAGCTGAGGCAGGAGTCTTCTCTGGGCACCTATCCCAGTCAGCAGGCAAGAGAGGACAGCCCCAGCCCCCCACCCCTGCAGCTTCCAGAACTGAAACCCTCGGCTCCTTCTTTTTTTTTTTCCCCCAATTTTTTATTTCTAGAGGAAACTCTACCAACATCAAACCACCTCCGGCCAATATCATCTGCTGATATCATCAGCAAATCGTACTAATATAATTCCTGAATTCCAAGATGTACTTTCTCCGCCAATGCACACACATTTCAACATTTCTGAAACCGGTTGATACCTTCTATCTGACGGGTACATTCCATGTGGTCGCTCTTTTTCCTTTTTTTCCTCGGCTCCTTCTTGAGTTTATCTGGCTTCTGGGGCACGACCACTCCCCGCCTGGCCGGAGTAGGCCAGGCCTGTGACCTGGGCCATCCTGGCTCTGAGGTGTGGGCAGGAGGGTCTGATCTCCCCGTGGCCTGCGAGACCCCTGGGGATTGATCCCGCCCCTCTCCAGCAGCCACTTCTTGGTGGTGGTGGCGGGGGGGGGGGGGGGTTGGCTGAGGTGGTCCTTCAGCCAGGCTAGCTTCCTGGTCTCAGAACTGTCCTCGTTCCGCTCAGCCGGGGCGGTGGTTCTTTTTCCCTCTGACCCGTAGTGGCTTCCTACACTGTCCTCCCTTCTCTCTGTACCTCACTCTTTATTTACCCTCTTTTCTCTGCCACTGCCCTCCCTCTCCCTGCTTCTCCAGAGTGGGTTGTGCCAAGAGGGGGCAGTCGGGGGGGCCTGTCAGGGTCTTTGCCTCACTCTGGACACCAGGTCAGCTCTGACCCCTCTCTTCCCTGCTTCCCACCTTTCCAAGTGGGCACATCTAGGGGCTTCCTTCACAAGGGCCGGTGTCCAGACTCTGACCACGGGCAGGCCAAGTCCACTGAAGGTTCGCCGGCGTCAGGAGGACGTGGTTACCGTCCGGGGCGGCTGGTCCCCCACAGGGAAGCTGTGGGGCGCTGCTGCGTGTCACGGAGGTCCTTCCAGATACCAGGTCGCTTCCCAAGACAGACCCTCTGACAGAGCCGCTGTCCCCTAGAAAGCCCAGCTTGGTCACTTGGACGGGCCGGTCTTTCTGCTGCCCCTGAATGCACTTGCATCTCCTATGCCCAGTCCTGCTTGGGGAGCTGAATTTGCTAGAAAGTGGGGGAGCTCTGTGCGAGGGAGGAAGTACTGCGAGAGGTGGAGGCTGAGCAGAGGCGCGTTCTCGTGTTGCCTGTATTTTGCTTCTTCAGGAAGCCTTTGAACCGGACCAGGAGTTACTCTTGCAGTAGATGCTCACTTTGTCATTTGTCACATTCTTCATTTTTCTGAGGATTATAGAGGCACAGAGGGAGCTTTCTGTATGAGTGCTTCAAAGAGTTTGATTTGAAATTTTAATGGAGCGTGTAACGCTTTGGGGGGGGTCCAGGTGCAAATCCTTTAGATCTCAGCTTTTTAAAGGAACTGAAACACATAGGACTTCACCAGCAAACGTAGTGGTGTGTTTTCAGATTGAGAAATAACTCCATATGCTGGAGTGTAAAAACTGTATTGTAGACGCAGCGGGTGGGGAGCATGGTGACCAGTGCTGCACCCTTCACTGCAGTGGGGCCTCATGTCACGTTTGTCACGAGAGCTCTTTAGGGAGAGGTAGTGGGCTCTCGGCAAAACGTATACCACGTGAATGGCAGGGCAGGGTCTGGCAGGAGCCCTCCAGGGGCATTCCACCTGGGCCCCTGGTCCTGGCTCTGTGTGGCGCTGTGAGAGTTTGGGCGGACCCTAATATAGCATCGCTAGGGGTCTGAACGTGGCTGTGGAACACGTAGTCATGGGGGGCGGGGGCCGGTGTCGGAACGGGCTCTGGCTGAGACCCTAGTGTTTCCCTCCGTCCAGCTCCCGAGAGTCCAGCCCCAGCTCCTATACCAGTCGGAGGGCACTTCTGGGCCAGAAGGCCTGGTAACCTTCCCCTCTGCCTGCCCCTCACCCCCGCCAGATCAAAGACACGGTGACAATGGACGTGGGGAGAGCCAACAAGGAGGCTGAAATCCTTCGAAAGCAGTGCAAGGCTCTGTGCCAGGAGCTGAAGGAAGCCCTCCAGGAGGCGGATGTGGCCAAGTGCCGGCGGGACTGGGCCTTCCAGGAGCGGGACAAGATCGTGGCGGAGCGGGACAGCATCCGGTATGGGGCGCCCCGGGGCCACATGGGCTCGGCTCTCCCCGTGGTGCCCTGGGTCTGTGGGAGGGTCGGAGTCATAACCACTTCCTTCCAGGTAAGGTGGGCGTGACTTGGGTCGTCCCTCCTCACCCTAGGTGATGCCCCAGCCTCGCCTCATAGTGAGAATTTTAGCATTTTCCATCATGTCTCGACTTCCCATTTCCCTTCACCCTAGAAGTCCGAGCACATGCTGTGTCCACAGCATGGACCCCCGTGAAGTGGTATGAGGCCACGCTTTTTTCTTAGGGGGTTTCTGTTGCAACTGACATTTCAAAAATGTGTTCTTTCAGCCAGTATTCATTGGTCACCTACCGTGTGCCAGGATCTTAGGTCCCTTGAGCAAGGAGACCCTGGGAGAGAAACAACCTTTGAGGCTCCTGGGCACGTGTGATGCCCGTGAGGGGCCGGCACCGCGGGGGCTACAGGCAGCTTCGTGGGACAGGGTGGTCGGGGGGAGGGAGGTGCGTGAACAGTGAATTCGTGGGGGCATGAAGGGAACTGGGGGACGGGTAGGGAGGTCTCCCCAGAAAGCATGGCGTCCATGCTAGAACTAAAGCTCGAGTGGCACTTTTCCAGGTGGAGAAGGGGGGATGGGTGTTGCAGCCTGAGGGACCATCATGAACAAAGGTGTATGGTGAGCTCAGGGCAGAGCTGGGACTGGTTGTGGCATGAGTGGGGTGCGCACTTGGTGAGTCACAGGAGAAGCGGCTGGCAGGGCTCCTGAGGGCAGGTGGTGAGGGCCTGTGAAGGGGAGCCCTGGAGTGTAGACTTGGCCCTTGGCCTGGAATAAAGCCAGGAGAGGCCCTGCTGGTGGTGGTGGTGGTGATGATGATGATGATGGCGATAAGTGAGGACTTGGTCATTGAGAGTTTCTGCAAGATCCCTTGTGGTTGTTTGGAGAGACTGATGTCCACCTGGGCTGGTCAGGAGATGAAGGTTCCGGATTGGAGGAGGTTTGGGGCCATGGAGAAGTGGGGACCAGCCCTCAGGGTCCATCGAGTGGCAGGGTGCCGTTCTGCCGGTGGCACAGAGCACAGCACAGACTCTCCTGCTACCTGGTCACCTGTCCCCACCACCTCTCTGAGTGACTGAGCTGATCGTGGGAGCCCAGAGGCCACACGTCTGTTAGTAGAGAGCTGTTAAGCCTGCACCCCACCTGCACAGGGCTCCGGGCTGCAGAGATGCCTAGGACATGATTTCTGTCCAAGGGGGGGCTCAGTCTAGTTGTGGGGTGGAGGGCATCTCTAGAAAAGCCTGCACGTGGGTAGTGGTGCAGTGTCTGGTCGGTGCTGGGGCACAGGGGCTTGCCAGGTGGGCTGTGCGGGTGGGAGCGTGGTCGTTGACCCCAGACACACTGAGGCTGAACCTGTGGGATGAACACTGTACGTTCAGAAGCGGATGCTCGTTGCCTGGTAACCGTGGGGGTGTCTCCTCTGCCAGGTCCCCAGTGTCCTCTCTGTCCCTGTGTGGGATGGGCCTGGGTGGCCTTGCCTCCAAACTCTCAAGCGCTCCATCTGTGCATCTGGGAGTGAGGCAAGCACCTGGGGTGTTCGGGAGCATGGGCTGCAGGCCTCACTGCAAGCCGTGAGTCCTCTGTCCCCTGCCCCTCACAGTGACCTAGCCCTCTGCCCCCTCTGCCAGGACGCTCTGTGACAACCTGAGGCGGGAGCGGGACCGGGCGGTGAGCGAACTGGCTGAGGCCCTGCGCAGCCTGGATGACACTCGCAAACAGAAGAACGACGTCAGCCGGGAGCTGAAGGAGCTCAAGTACGCTGGGGTGGGCGCCTGCTGGGAGAGCTGGCGCCCGGGAGCGTGGTGTCCGCTTCCGTCAGGTCAGGGCAGCCCCATGAGCAGGGCCTGCAGTCTGTCCCTTCACTCTGCCTTACTCGGTCAGTCCGTAAAATGTGTCCGAGTGTGGCCTCTCTGTTGAGAGTTAATTAGAAATCCTTAGATCAGCACAGAGTGTGGCAGCGGCCCTTTGGTGAGCGAGTCGGGGTGGGCAGGCACTGCGTGCCAAGGCTCATCGGAAGGAAGGTCCCTGCCCCGGGCGGTCCACTGGGGGACAGGTAGGCATGTGTCGTCCATTCATTCCCTCCCTCCCTCCCTCCCTCCCTCCCTCATTCATTCGGCAACTCCACAAGGATTTGCCAGGTGCCTGCTGCGTGGGGGCCAGGCCCCGGGGGAGGCACAAGCCGCCGGGTCCCTGCCCTGTGGGGCTCATAATACACGGAGACAGACCAAAGGCAGGGCCATCCGAGAGACCAGCACGCAGTCGAACAGAATGATGACAGGTTCTGATGCAGCATTTTTGAAGGCGGTTGTGACTACCGCTCAGCAGTCTGTGCTGTTTGGGGTGTCAGACAGCGTCCCCTCAGTTACAGCGCTGCTCCCAGGGGTGTTACTTCACACTTGGTGGCCCCTAGCAGTGTACTGAAAATACAGAGATCCAAGCTGAAGAACAGAAATCGGCAGATGCCAATTGGCAGTGCAGTCCAGAGCCAGACCAGGTAGTTGAGAAGCAGCGGCCGTCCGCTTGCTCGTGAGGCTTCCTGAACCGATAGGGTGGTTGGAAGCTGGTGAGCGTGCAAGCCTCGCACACTCGGGGGACGCCTTCCGGAAGTGGGTGACAGCTTCCCCTTCTTCCCCGTTCAACAGAACCTCCTAACGTAAGGCAAAGAGCTTCATTGACTCCGTGAAAACCCAGAAGCCCTGGGGCTTGAGCACTCTAAGAAAATCCCGTGGGTTAAGCGGCAGAGGGACAGCTGCTCTCCAGGCACCCAGTTAGGGTCTGGCAGGTGGTGGAATCAAATTAAGGCAAAGCCTGGCGCCTCGGGGGCTTGAGCACGGGAGGAGGTTTTGCACGTTAATTGAGCTGGAGTTGCCTGGAACTTCTAAGAAATGTCAAGTTCCGTTTGTTTGTTCATTCAGCATGTTTGTATTTGCACCTTCTCTGAGCTAAGTTCTCTAACCAGTGGGATGCAGGGGAGGGAGTCCTTGCCGCTGCCCGGGAAGCCCCCCGTCTGCAGAAGCAACAGATGTATGTGCCTAGTGGGTGAGAGGTGAGCCGCGTGCGGTGAGCATGAAGTGCAGAGCTGCTTCTCTGTCGGGGAAGAAAGCTTGGAGAAGGACTACCCGTGGGCTGCGTGGCCTCCTAGAGCTGGCCACACATTCTTGAGCACGGTTCAGGCAAAGGTGTGGACATGGGAGCGCGTCCAGTCGAGCAGGAAACAACAGTAGTGAGGGGTGTGGCAGGAACCCACTGGGCAGTGCTGAGGAATTGGAGAGGTCATCTGGGCCCAGGTTCTAGGAAGAAGGATGTTACTGGGGCATGTTAACAGGTTTCTGAGTCTTTTTTCGTCCTCCTCACTGGGTCTTTCTGAGAACTAAAGCTTTTTATTTTGATCGAATCCGATTTGCTGATTTTTATTTTTTTACTTTTAATGGATTGTGTTATGTCTAAGAACCCTTAATCCAGTCCTAGATCTCAAAGATTTTTCTCCTATACTTGCCTTCTAGAAGTTTTTTAGTTTTATATTTAAATCTGTGATAGGTCTTGTGTTAATTTTTATATAAGGTATGGGGTTTAGGTTGAGAGTCTGTTGCCAGGATGTCCTCTTGCTCCAGCATCATTCGTTGAAGACCATCCTTCCTCTACTGAACCACTTCTGCACCTTTTGTACTTTGTGGGGCTATTTCTGGGTCCTCTGCTCTGTTCCGTTGATCCATGTGTCTGTCTTCCTGGCAGTTCCACATGGTCCTGATTTCTGTAGCCGTATAAGAAGTCTTGAAATCAGGTAGAATGATTCCTCCCATTTTATTCTTCATTTTCAAAATGGGTTTCGCTGTTCTAATTCCTTTGCCTTTCTGTGTATATTTTAGAATAGTCTTATCCCTGTCTACAGAAAGTCTTGCTGGCATTTCTGTAAGAATTGCATTAAACCCCTAGATAAATTAGGGGCAATTTTCTGAGACTTAAAAAAAACAAAAACAAAAAAACTATGAAAACTCACTGGTACCCAAGAAGCCTTGGGTTTATGAGGCAGCTGGTGTGAAGTATGAGGGGGGAGGGGAATGGTCCACCTCATTTCCGAGTGGACTTTGGTGGGATGCTTTGCCTCCCAGAGGGCCGTTGCCATGGCTCTCTCTTTGTTCACAGGGAGCAGATGGAATCCCAGTTGGAAAAGGAGGCCCGGTTCCGGCAGCTGATGGCCCATAGCTCCCACGACTCGGCCATTGACACAGACTCCATGGAGTGGGAAACAGAAGTCGTGGAGTTTGAAAGGGAGACGGTAAACCGCCCTTGTGTCTTCTCTTCCCAGCTCTCCTCAACGTGACGGCTTTGGATGGGGGAGGGAAAGGATGGCCCTCTTGCAGGGCCCCCAACTTCATGGCTGCTAGTTGGGAGGTCAGCTTTTTCTCCCAGGGCGTGGATGCATCCTTTCCCTGCACTTGTCCAAGCCCCATGCAGTAGCAGCTTGGTCTCCTGTGTTACCCGGCGGATGCTTGCAGTGCATGGAAAGCAGAGGCAAGAGCAGAGCGCCAGGGGGCTGAGAGAGAGAGAGAGAGAGAGAGAGAGAGAGAGAGAGAGAGAGAGAGTGTGTGTTTCCAGTGGTGGAAAGGGGATCACAGCCGCTCAGAGGTTTTATCTTGGGGACCACGTGTCCCGTCGGGGTGAAGGGACAGCACCCGCCTCGGAGTGAGTGTCTTGGGGGCGGGTGTAAGAGCCAAATGTTTCTCATCTCTGCTGTAAAGTGAGCTGTTGCCACTCTTCTTTTGCCAGGAGGATATTGACTTGAAGGCACTTGGTTTCGATATGGCAGAGGGTGTGAATGAGCCTTGTTTGCCGGGGGACTGTGGCATATTTGTCACTAAAGTGGACAAAGGAAGCATCGCTGATGGCCGCTTACGGTGAGTGTAGTGGGCTCCAGGCTTTGGAGGGAAGGTGGCAGTTTCCCTCTGACCTAATGCAGAGGGCCTGGAGAGCCAGGTGGCGTTTAAATGAACGCATCCCAGGACCTGGGGGCCTCACAGAGGCTGTTGAGGCTTTCAGGCTTAACTGCTAACATTGTTCTTAAAGGCTGCTTGGACTCCGAATCGCCTCTGAATCTGATCTTTCTCCCATCACCAGGTGCTGCCTTTTGCTTCTCTGTGTAGTAAGGGGCTCAGGTGAAGTGTGTGAGAGTCTGGAATGTGCATTGCCTGCTCATCCCATGAAATAGTGATGATAATAATTAGCACCTACATAGTGCTTGGTATTTGCTAAGTTTAAGTACTTCATATAATTCATTAATCTTTACAATCCCATGAGGTAGGTGCTTCTGTTGCCCCCATTTTACAAATGAGGGCACTGAGGCCCAGAGGGACTACGTCATGCCGCTAGTAAGTGGTAGAGCTAGGGTTTGAAACCAGGCTCCAACCCTTGCCAGCTTAACCACTCCACCTTCCTAGAAGAGGAAACCTTTCTCTTTTCTTTCTTTTTTTTTAAAAATAAATTTATTTATTTGTTTGTTTTTATTTTTGGCTGTGCTGGGTCTTCGTTGCTGCGCGCGGGCTTTCTCTAGTTGCCGTGAGCGGGGGCTACTCTTCGTTGCGGAGCACGGGCTCTAGGCGCGCGGGCTTCAGCAGTTGTGGCACGTGGGCTCAGTAGTTGTGGCGCACGGGCTTAGTTGCTCCACGGCATGTGGGATCTTCCCGGACCAGGGCTCGAACCCGTGTCCCCTGCATTGGCAGGCGGATTCGTAACCACCGTGTACCAGGGAAGCCCCGAGGAAACCTTTCTGAATGTGTTTGTGGGGTACCTGCTTTCTGGTGTTCTGCTCCCCGAATGGGAGCAACAGGGGCCGGCCCCCTGGTCCCAAGGCCTCCGCTGGCAGTGACCTGGCTGTCCCCCTCCTCAGGGTCAATGACTGGCTGTTGAGAATCAACGACGTGGACCTCATCAATAAGGACAAGAAGCAGGCCATGAAGGCGCTCCTCAATGGGGAGGGGGCCATCAACATGGTCGTGCGTCGGAGGAAGTCCCTGGGCGGGAAGGTGGTCACACCGCTGCACATCAACCTGAGCGGGCATAAAGGTAGGGGCTGGGGAGGTGGGCAGGGCACCCTTTTCTCGTACAGAGAGATCACATGTGTTTTCGGGCACCCCTCATTCCCAGAACCAGGCGTTGATGTGGTTTCAGTGCAGCCCATGTGCTTCACGCTACGGGGCCGTCTGGGTCCTGGGTCTTGCTTGTCTCTGATTGTTTGATTCGCCAGACCAGACCTGACCCGGTCCCTGGGTGGTGTGACCTGGGCGGGGTGCTGGGATGGACAGGTTGCAGTCTGCCAACATCCTTTTTAAAAGTTTATCTCGTAAAGTCAAGATGAGACAACCAGAGGGCCATGCAACCCGGGCAGGGGTTAACCGGGGACCTCTGGTTTGCAGACAGCGGCATCAGCCTGGAGAATGGAGTGTATGCTGCCGCCGTGGTGCCCGGAAGCCCGGCTGCCAAAGAGGGGTCCCTCGCCGTGGGAGACAGGATTGTGGCTGTAAGTCTCAGGGAACCCTTCCTCTGGTTCTAGACTCCCCATCTCCCAGTTCCCATCCTAAGGGCAACTACTTTTAACAGTTCATTGTGTTTTCTCCCCCAAACGTTCAAAACTTATATCTCCCACTTTTTTTTTTTTTTTTTTTTTAAACTTAGATGTGATCATAGTATACTGTGCTGCTGCTAACCTTGCTTTCTGTTTCTAACAGCGTGCCTTGAGGTTCTTCCAGATTCACATCTTTAGATCTGTCTGAGTCATTTCAGTAACTGCATGTTCCTTAGTGGCCTTTGGGCTGGTCTCCTGATGGACAGTCAGGACATTTTTTGCCATTGTAATAGTGCTTCATGGCCACTGCTGTGTCCCGCCACGGGATAGAGTCCCGGGTGGGGGAATTGCTGGATCAGAGGGCATAAGCATTCAACATGTGATGTGATGTCCCTCCTTGTGCTTCAGAGAAGTCCCACCTGCCGTGTTTGGGGGAGCTCGTTACTTCACATCTTTGCCAGTGTTTTTCAGATTTGGGGGTGAGCTAGAGTTTGAAAGCAATATGGCCAATACGAAAAACTCTTAAGATGTGGGGAAGTTATAAAGAAAAACAAAACCAACCAAATTAATCTACCACCCCAAGATAATCACTCTGAATATATATATTTTTTTAACTTTCAATTTTGAAATAATTACAGAAATAATTATAATTCAGTTATAATGTTAAACAATATTAAAAAGTGAAGTGGCAAAGATAGTACAGAAAGGTCCTACGTACCCATCATCCAGTTAACATCTAATGGTTACATCTTACGTAACTATGAAATCTGTTATCACATTTTAGGATAAAAAACAGGGCTGTCCACCACCACAAAGATCTCCCTCGTGTCACTCCTTTCTGTTAACCCCCGCAGTCCTAAGCATGCCCCCTCCCCGCCATCATAAGCCCTGGCAACTAATCTGTTCCCCAGCTCTATAATTCTGTCATTTGGAGGATATTGTGTAAGTAGAGTCTGCAGTACTTGCCCGTTTGAGATGGCCTTTTCCACCTGGCTTCGTGCTGTGAGCTCCATCACGTGGTTGGATGTGCTGATGCCGTGGTCCTTCTCGAAGCCGGGTAGGACTCCATGGTATGGGTGCACCCCAGTCTCACCGTTCACCTATTGCACATACACTTTTAAAAAGCACTGGAACGTGTCTGAGAGGGGTGCGGACAGAGACTCAGGCGTGAGGGGCTGTAGGAGTCTTTGCGATGATACTTCATGTCACGTGGGTCCAGCCTCCCACATCATGATCTTGTTTTCAGTCTCCTCACGCCCCTGGGGGGGCATCCGTGTTTGTTTTCCTTTTTGCTCTTGAAGGAGTTCTGAGCCGTGGTCCAGCATCACGCAGCAGGAAGCGGCGGGTCCAGGATGTCCCTCTGGGACCCGTGGTGTTCTGGTCCCAGTCAGTCAAAGTCACTTCCCCAGAGTGCTTTCAAGGCTGTGTGTTTCATTTGCCTCAGAAGCCCCATAACTGGACTTTGAGGGCCTTAACTGGGGAGGGGCTTTCTCTCCTTTGCCAGCTCCAGACGGGGGCACCTTACAGAACAAGGCCCACTGTCCAGCGTGGGTCAGCAGCTAGGCAGAACCCCTATCCTGGTGGTGGGCCTGACGGGCTCTCTGTTGGCCCTAGATCAATGGCATTGCACTGGACAACAAGTCTCTGAATGAGTGTGAATCGCTGCTGCGGAGCTGCCAGGACTCCCTGACCCTCTCCCTCCTGAAGGTAAGGGCCCCCGCCCTGCACTGGCTCTGCTCTCGCCCTCTTTGGGGCAGGCAGAACCCCAGCTCCTTGTACCCAAGCCACTTCTCCACATCACTGGGATCCTTGGAAAAAAGGTCTTGACTTATAAGTGCAAGGTATGCGTGAACCCTGACTGGATCCTGGTTTCAAAACCAAAACCAAAACCAAAAACCCAGAAACAAAAAAACCTAGCTATGAAGGACATTTTGGAGGTGGGGGGTACATTTGGATCTGGACTGGATAATTAGATGATCTTAGGGAATTGTTACTTTTCCTGGGTATAATGATGGTATTGGGGTCACACAGGAGAATGGCCTTATTTGGGAGAAGTGCGTGCTAAGGCTGTTCGGGTGAAATGTCATAATATTTGTAACTTGTTTTCGAATGATCTGCAGTATAAATAGATACAGACAATTGGGCAAAATATTGTTGAATCTAAATGGGTTTAAGGGCGTTTATTGTACTTCTTATCAGCTTTTCCAAGAAGGTTGGAAAAGGGCTCATCTACTTCATTAAGAGATAGTTTTAAAAATTATTTTAAAATTAATAGCCTTTTTGGGGAACAGATTTAGGTTTACAGAAAAGTTGAGTTAGTACAGAGAGTTCTCATATCTTCCGCTCTGTGATATCGATGAGCCAATATTAATACATTAGTATTAACTAAAGTCTGTAGTTAACGTGAGGATCCACTCTTGGGGTTGTACATTCTACGGGTTTAGACAAATGTATAATGACACGTATCCGCCGTTACAGTATCCTGCAGAGTGATTTCAGTGCCCTGAAGATCCTCTGGGCTTCACCTGTTCATCCCTTCCTCCCCCTCAACCCCCGGCAAACGCTGATCTTTTGACTATCTCTGTAGTTTTGCCTTTTCCAGAATGTCATATAGCTGGACTCACATAGCATGTAGCCTTTTCAGATTGGCTTCTTTCACTTAGTCCTGTGCATTTAAGGTTCCTGCATGTCTTTTCATGGCTTGATAGGTTGTTTCTTTTTATCACTGAATAATATTCCATTGTCTAGGTGTACTGTAAGATGCCTTTAATAGTGAATTTTTTATATTTACATTTAATAATTTTAAAAAATAGGCAGGACACAGTGCAGGTGATTTCAGAAAATGCTCAAAGTCAAGGGAACTTTGTGTCTTTCCTGTGGGTTCCCAGTGGCCTGGCTGTGAGCAAGCGTCACCTGTTGGCGAGGTGTACATGCCTGCACGTCTGTCCATCTGTCCAACTTTGGGGTGTGTGTGGCCCATTCCTGACCATCGCTCTACCTCCAGGGATGTTTTTCGGTGGCAGCTCCAGGTCGTGCGGTCTCACCGGCTCTCTTCCTCACTCCTCTGCAACCCCTACTTAGGTGTTCCCTCAGAGCGCGTCGTGGAGCGGCCAGAACATCTTTGAAAACATCAAGGACTCTGATAAGATGCTGAGCTTCCGAGCCCATGGCCCGGAGGTCCAGGCTCAGAATAAACGGAATTTGATGCAGCACAACAACTCCACGCAGACGGACATCTTCTACGCCGACAGGCTGGAGGACAGGAAGGAGTCTGGCCCCCCAGGAGGCAGCAGCTCCTTCCTGCACAAGCCGTTCCCCGGGGGAACCTTCCCCGTCTCCCCCCAGGCCTGTCCCAGCGCCTCCGAGCGTAGCCTGAGCCCCTTCCGCTCGGACGCCTCGGGGGAGCGTGGCTCTGGGCCGGTGGACGTGCGTAGCCGGCGGCCACTGCTGCCCTTTGAGACTGAGGTGGGCCCCTGTGGGGAGGCAGAGGCCCGCCTGGACAAGGCAGAGCCCGAGAATGCCAACAGCGGCGGGACCTGGCCCAAGGCTGTGCTCAGCTCCACGGCAGGACCCGAGAAGCTCTCCGTTTACAAGAAGCCAAAGCAAAGAAAGTCTATCTTTGACCCAAACACTTTCAAACGCCCCCAGACGCCCCCCAAAATAGACTACCTGCTCCCAGGCCCTGGGCCTGCTTACTCCCCCCTGCCCTCCAAGAGGGTGGGACCTCTGACGCCCCCAAAACCTCCCAGGAGGGGTGACTCCATTAAGTTCCAGCACAAACTGGAAACCAGTTCTGAGTCAGAGGCCACTCTAGTGGGCAGCTCCCCATCCACCAGCCCCCCGAGCGCCCTGCCCCCCGACATGGACCCCGGGGAGCCCATGCACGCCTCGCCCCCTCGCAAGGCCAGGGTCCGCATTGCTTCCAGCTACTACCCTGAAGGGGACGGGGACTCCTCCTACCTGCCGGCCAAGAAGTCCTGTGACGAGGACCTCACCTCCCAGAAGATGGACGAGCTGGGGCAGAAGCGCCGCCGGCCAAAGTCTGCTCCCAGCTTTCGGCCCAAGCTCGCTCCAGTAGTGATCTCTGCTCAGTTCCTGGAGGTAGGGCTCAGCCCTGGAGTGGGTCAGGGGGAGGTGGAGGTGGGGCGGGCCACACAGGGACCTGCGCCCGCCCGCACTGGCATCCCCCAGCTCAGGCTTAGCCCTGGCTCCTTTGCCTCTGCTCTCAGCACCTGCCCGGGAGAAGGGGAGGGGATGGCAGGTGAGTGCCCGCAGGAAGCAGTCTCCCTTTAGGAGATTAGAAAGCAGCCTGGGGTGTGCGTGATAGCCGTAATACAACACCAAGAGGGCAACGCTTTCTTGGGTGTGGGGTTTGATTTGCTTATTGAGCAAGAAGCTTTTGAACTTGTATTGCAATAAACCCAAGTGGCAAGGACCCACCTCAAAGGTTTAGGGAGTCAAGATAGCACGTGTGAATCTGTTAGCCGGCAGCAGGACAGGCCGGCTTGTGTTTGTGGGTGCTGTGGTCATTTCCAGAAGGGAGAGATTGCTGTGAGCAGGAGAACAAATACGTGCTACTTTCAGCAGACACGGAGCTTCACACGGCTGGGCAGGTTGTGTGGAGTTGCTGCATACGTGTGCCCGATGCACCCATGTGTTCCACCCTCTCTACACACAAAAGCTGTTTATTCGAAAGAACAGATTCTTGCTGTGTGGTTTTCTTCCAAAGTATTTTTGAAGGAAGTTCTTCTCTTCCAGATGTGTAAGGCAACGTGAATGAATAAACGAGTTAACGATCTCTCCCAAATGTCACGTCATGTGTCTGAGTGGGAGAAGCTAGGTCGTAAGGGATAGAAATCGCTTGCAAATGCCTGTGTGTTTCCCTGTTTCCAGCCACTGCCTCTTGCCTTTGGTTCTGCAGGAGCAGAAGAGCGTCCCGGCCGGTGGAGAGCTCTCCCCAGATCTCCAGGAGTGGTCCCCTTACTCGCCAGGGCATTCCAGCCGGCACAGCAACCCCCCCTTCTACCCCAGCAGGGCGTCTGTGGGTGAGCTGGCAGGGCAGGGCCGGGGAGGAGGGTCGATGCGGGCTCCCAGGGCCGCTCAGTCCCAGGGAGAGTGGAGACTGTCATTTCAGGGAGCTGCTGTGTGTCCTCAAAGATCTAGCCACTGCTGACCTGTCTGGAGTATTCAGTCTTCTATCAGTGACATTTTTTAGCTTTTCAGAGTGCTTTCTCCCCATAGCAGCCTGGGAAATGGGAAGCACTGAAGAGGGTTCTCCTGCCTTACAGGTGGAGCAGGGCCAGAAGCTTGCATAGATCTGGGGCTGGCTGGATGCTTTGGGGCCACTGTCTCACCCTGCCCATTTGCAGGCACTGTTCCCCGCAGTATGACCCCGAGCACCACTGTGAGCTCCGTCCTGAGGAACCCCATCTACACCGTGCGCAGCCACAGGGTCGGCCCTTGCAGCTCTCCGCCTGTCCCCAGAGAGGCTGGCCCCCAGGGTTTGCATCCCAGGTATGTGAAGCCGCCTGTGCTTCCCTGTACCCCAGCCATCCAAGCCCACCTGGGCATAAGGCCACTGTGTATAGAGGGGTTCCCTTGCCTAGCTGGGAAGAGGCCGGGTAGAGCAGCGCTGGGGCCCCGGGGAAAGGAAACTTTAAGGTCGCTCTCTTCATTTACCAGCGTGGAGCTTGAAAAGGTATTTGTAGGACGATGGTAGAGAAGGCAGCTGATAGCTGAGCGCTCACATGCCGGGTACTGTCCTCAGACCTTTATAAACATCATCTCACTTGGTCACCAGAGCCACCCTATTACTACTGTCTCTGGTTGATAGATGAGGAACTGAGCCTTAAGAAAATGAATGGATTGGCTCAAGGTCACTCATTCATTCGATCACTTGACAGATTTTAATAGAGCACAGACTGCATGCCGTGGACTGCTATAGTTCTAGAGGGCTACAGTGAAAAATTAAGTAGACAAACTTCATCTCCTGTGGCATTTGTGTTCAAGTGGCCGGGCCGAGGTGGGGAGTGGGGAACGACCAAAAAAGAGAACAGAGTGATACCAGATGGTGCTGAATGGCCCTAAAGACCCTAAAGTGTTGACAAGCTAGGCTGTGACTTGGAAGAGGGTGGCAAGTTATATTGGGCGGTGGAGAGGGCCCCATGCAGGGGGATGCTGCTGTGACTGGAAGGCTGAGAAGAGGCCAGTTGTACACGACTTGGGGAGGAGCCTCCAGGAAGGAGGGCTGTAGGTGCTGCAGCCCGGGCATCTGAGAATGGTGCAGTGGGCTCCAGGGACAGAGTAGGGGAGCTTGGCAAAGAGACGGTGAGTCAGGAGGAAGGCCCACGTCGTAGGGCACAAACCCAGAGTTTGGGTTTTATTTTGAGTACAGTGAAGACCACTGGAAGGCCCTAAGCAGGCAAGAGACGTAGTCTCATAGCTAGAAGAGGTCATCATCGGGCCTGAATGCGGGCCAGCCTGACGTGGGCAACGCGGGCTCCCCGCCCTCAGCTCTCCCGTTTCCAGGGACGGGCTCCTCTAGGGAGAGCCTCGGTGCCGTCCTGCCCCTCCGTGCCCGCCCAGGAGGCAGAGCCTCTGTTCGTCCCTGCAGAAAGCCCTCTGTCCCAGTGAGCTTGGTCCTGGCCTGGCGCTTGCAGGGCCCTCTGAGCGTGGCTGCGGGCAGTCGCCGTCCTCGGCCGACTGGGAGCCGCTTCCGGGCCTCCCTGAGCTGGCAGAGGGCCTCAGGGTGGCCAGCCACTTGTTATCCTGACCTGGTCCTTCTCCCGAGCCCCTCACTTGTCTGCTTTTCGACAGTGTCCAGCACCAGGGCCGCCTGAGCCTGGATCTGAGCCCCAGGGCCTGCAGCGACTGCTCTGAGATGAGAGCCTCCCACGGGTGCAACTCCCTGCCCTCCAGCGCCCGCCTCGGTAACTGAGCCACTGGCGCCTTCTCGCCAGAGCAGGCACCAGCCTTTCTTCATCTCCACCCGCATCCTCATGCCCAGACCTCCTGGCGGCCCACACACAGCCCCTCTCCCGTCTGGGGGCCGAGGCCGGCTCCACGCTGCACCCAGAGCCCTTTCCTGTGGCCTTCCTGCAGCTTCCCACAGTGGCCGTGTAGTTGTTCTGGTGACCCCTGGCCCAGGAACCTTGCTCCCTGACCCTGAGGTCATTCTGGGGGATGTCGTGTTGCCGATCACTTATGGAAAACGCACCCCAGAGTCGAGGCTAGCAGTTGTCTCAAAGAGACTCTGGTGGAGCTGCTTCCGGCGTTGTGGACACAAGGCCGGCAGTCGCGCCTGTCGCGTGGGGTGCTGTCTCTGTTCGGGGCTGGAAGCGAGACTTGTGGGATGCTGTTCTGAAGCAGCCTAGCCCTGCACGGTTTATTCACGTACTGGGGCTAGGCCTCTGCTTTCCCTGACTGTTCCACGTTGAGACCCCATTGGGGATAAATGGCAGGGCCCACTTTCGTTCTCTCATAACCGTGTATGTTTCCTGACTACTAGGATGGTGGTGAGGGAGTGAGGGGCGCTGTTTAATTGCAGGCCTAAAGTTTTGTCCCCTTGTGGAACCACAGGGTCTTCGAGCAACTTGCAGTTTAAGGCAGAACGCATTAAAATCCCATCAACGCCAAGATATCCGCGGTCTGTCGTGGGCTCTGACAGAGGTGAGAACTTCTCAGTGGCCCTTCCCCCTGCTGACCCCCTCCGTCCTCAGGGTGGGGTGTCTGGGCACCGCTCACAGTTCACTCCCGGTCTCAGCCATCAGTCATGCTGGCGGGGCCAGGACCCGGGCCCTGGTGGGAGATGCAGGGGGGAGTGCGAGGCACGAGGCACCTGCACGCATGGCCGTGCGTCCGGGCTGCGGGAGCGGAGGTGCAGGCCCGGGCCTCACCCACCCCTCTCGGCAGGCTCGCTGTCCCACTCGGAGTGCAGCACTCCCCCGCAGTCTCCTCTGAATGTCGAAGGCCTGTCCTCCTGTAGCCCATCCCAGACCTCAGCCGCCACATTGCCCAGGATTGCCGTCAACCCCGCGGCCCTCGGGGAGCGCAGAAAGGACAGGTGAGTGGGCACAGGGGAGGATGGCGCACTGCTGTAGCGGGCCAGCGCTCGGCCGCGCCCTCGGCCCCGGGTGTGGTGCGGTTTGGGGAGTTCCGACAGAGTTGACCTCCGGCGAGGCTGCAGGCGTTTGGGTCGCCTAGCATCCCCTGGTGTCTTGCTCCAGGACGTCACGAGGAAGTCCTGTGGACACGTGATGCAGGAGGAGGGGCGCACGTGGATGGCCAGTTGGAGGAGCAGGGTGAGCTCCTTCCACTGAGTGCCCACGGGAGGAGGGGGGCTCCAGCACGTGATGCTGGGGACGACCTGACAGTGACCGTGATGGAGTGATGCCGTTCACTGCTCCCCAGGCCGTTGCTTAAGCACGTTCCACGTGATAAGTCGTGAAACCCTCACATGACCCTGTGATCAGCGGCATCATCATCGGCCCCATTTTAAAGATGAGGAAACTGAGGCCAGAAAGTTGGAGTGGTCTGTCTGTGGTCACATGGTTAGTGACTGGCCTATACTAATTAGAATCAGGACTCTTTTATTTTTTTTAAACTTCTGGCTGCGCCATGCGACATGCGGGATCTTAGTTCCCCAACCAGGAATCAAACCCCTGCCCCCTGCAGTGGAAGAGTGGAGTCTTAACCACTGGACCACCAGGGAAGTCCCAGGACTCCTTCTTACCCTTTTCTTTTTGGCCCCAGAACACAGCTGTATCGCTTGCTCCCTCCCCCCGCCCCCCAAGCTTTTTATTGTGAGATAAAATACACACAGGAAGAGAGTGTGTGAACCATACATGTACAGCTTAGCCGTTTATTGGTTCATTTTGAAATGCAGGCCGATCTCAGCTGTCAGTCCAGACGTGCCTCCTCTCAGGGCTGGTCCCTTCCTGCACAAGCTCTGCACGTTCCTCATCCACCTCTGGTGTTCTTCAGAGTGGGATTTACCAGATCGTATCTATCTATTTAAAGGGTCTAGATCCTAGTGGGAGATTGGATTAAACTTGAACTTACCTGTATCTAATCACTTAGAATCTAGGACTAGAGCTACTCTCCTCCACTTACATCCAGAAAGCTGAGGGCCCTTGTAGCTGCAAGCCATGGGAGAGACGCTGCTGGGTGGGCCCATAGTTAAGAAAATCTCATTTACGATCTGAACCTGTAAGACAGCACACCTAGCAAGTGTAAACTGGAGAACAGAGCATACCCATAACCGCCAAGGCGCCTGGGCCCCCAGGGGAGTCAGCACAGTTCGCGTGGACGTGTTCATGATGGCCTCACCTGCATCGCGCAGACAGGAGCACAAACCGGCCCTGGGGGTGCGAGGTTTTACTGAACCCCCCAGCTCAGGTCACTGAGAGAACAAGACTTTCCCCCCACTGAAGGGGGCTCCTTAGAAGCAGAAGGGGCCTTATCACATGCGGTTCAGACATCCCCTTAGCTTTCTCCACGGTGCACAGAGAACCGGTGTGTGTGTGTGAGCGAGTGTGTGTGTCAGTGTCGGTGATTCCTGCCTTCACAGCGCTTAGGTGACATAAACTTTAACACGTGTGACCTGACTGAAGAATGGGTTACTTACTAAAAATAGTCCCCTTTTCCTCAGTCTCAAGTTAACTGTCATTATAGAAAACTGGGAAAACTAGAAAAGTAGAAAGAAAAAAAGTCACATAATCTCATCAACCCGAGGTTCAGTTGCTGTTATTTCACCTTCTGAGGTGTGTGTGTATGTATATATACAGTTTAAATACATGCTTTATTTATGTTGTTTTACATACATAAACTTCCTCCTTAATGTTATGTTTTAAGCTGTTTGTAGTGTTAAGTATACTTTATGAACTTCTTTTACAAAGCAGCCTTATTGTTCTGACAAAACTCTTGTGCATATTATAAAAATTTTAAATCATTCGGGAGATTAAAAAGTAAGGATTCCCTCCCAAAGGGCCCCCCTCTGCCTGCCTGCCCTTCAGCACGTGGACCACCCCCCCACCCCCCCCACCCCTCCCTGACATGTGCTCTGGAGGAGGGAGCCCTCGGGGGTGGCGCTCTGCTTGTCCCCTCCCCTGGCCTTTGGCTGCAGTCTTGTCCTGAGGAGGAGCTCGGGCAGCATGCAGCGGGGGGGTCCTGGCGGCTCGGGGTCACTTAACTGTCTGTCTGTCTGTCTGTCTGTCACGTTCCAGGCGTCTGTGGTTGTCTTCCTCCTCCAATCACCCCCGCTCTGCCTTCTAACCTTTTGCACCTTCCAGATGCCTCCACCACCACAGATCCCTCCTGAGACTGCCTGTGGCTGCCAGGCCCAGGTCCTCCTCCCTGAGGAGTATGAGGTTGGCCCGACAGGAGGTCCCCACCCCAGCCCCCCCTGCGCCCCTTATCCCCCGCCGTGCGGTGGGCGGCTCCTCGGGGCCAGTGGGTGCATGGTGCCGCCTTGCTCCCAGCCTCCCCGCTCTCTTTTTAGTGCCTCCGGTTTGCAGCAGCTTAATCTCATGATCATTTTGCATCCTCCTGTGTCCTGGTAAATATAAAAACTGATGTTTAATGTTGCCCCTTCTTGGGTGAATATCACCCAGAAAGCAGTCCTTTTGCCCCAAGGGCGTCTTGAGACCCCGTTGGAGGTTTGTACGTTGCACATTGTGAGGCCACTCCTCTCCTGTTAGGGAAACCTGCGTGCCTTTTCCCCGCGTATATCAGTGACCCTTCTTGGTGTCTTCGGGACTGGGTGCTTCTGTGTCCATCCGCGGGTGGGGGGTCGTGTCTGTATTGCATGGGGTTGTGTATCACCGTCGTACAAAGGTGGACTTCATCGTGTTTCCATCCAGCTGTGTCATCATAGGAGCGTCTGTGCCCCCTGGCCCTTTCTGCGTAGTGATTGCATGCCTGACCTCAGATCTTCCCCAGACCGTTCCTTTGAGCCTGAGTCCCCAAAACTGTTGGCTCTCTTCCAAGGCCCTACGTGGAGGAGCCACGCCATGTGAAGCTACAGAAGGGCTCGGAGCCTCTGGGCATCTCCATCGTGAGCGGGGAGAAGGGCGGTGTCTACGTCTCGAAGGTGACCGGGGGGAGCATCGCTCACCAGGCCGGCCTTGAGTACGGGGACCAGTTACTTGAGGTGAGCGGGAGCTGCCGTCCTCTCCCTCCTCTCCTCTCCTCTCCTCCCTTCCTGAGTCCCCAGGCCCTCCTCCACGCCCTCCTCTGCCATCACTGAGCCCGCTCCCGGTGTCTCCTAGTTCAATGGCATAAACCTGCGGAGCGCCACGGAGCAGCAGGCCCGGCTCATCATCGGGCAGCAGTGCGACACCATCACCATCCTGGCCCAGTACAACCCACACATGCACCAGCTGAGCGGCCACTCCCGGTCCAGGTGAGGCCCTGGCCTCCTGGGGGGCATGGGGGCCGCAGGAAGAGAGACGGGTGCGGCAGGTGCGTGGCTCGCTGTGGGGAGACCTACGTGCCAGCTGCAAGTTCTGGGGATTCTGCTGCCATGAGAGAGGAGTTGACCAGCCCTGGGTTTTGGAGAAGGGACATATGGAGGGATGGTTTTCCCTCCTGAAATAGGGTGTGGGAACAGGTGGCTGGGTCCCGCGTGCAGCAGGAAGCCCCGGCATGGGTATGTGGAGCAGGCAGGAGCTGCGGCCCCGGGCGGACGCTCCCACAGAGTGGTCTGGCCCCACTCCACGAGCAGACACTGGACACCTGCCCCCGTCTGCCTCTGTGCTGTGGGTGGCAGGACAGGTGAGGAAAGGGTGAGACGTGCCCCTGCCATGCAGCGCCTGTGAAGGGTAGGGCTGAAAGGCACATGCAGAGGAAAAGAGAACAGTGAATTCGTGGGTCCCCAGGCTGACCCCTTTGCAGAGGATCCCCGAGTTGAGGACAGGCAGATCCTGCAACTGGGTGACCGAGTCCAGGCTCCTGAGGCGCCTGCTCTCCTCAGGGTTCGGGTCACAGAGCTGCGTCACCTGGTCCTTGTTCACGTCCCAGACCTGGTCACCACCAGAGATGGGGCGGCTCCGGCCGGCTGCATGCTACTCCTCACTCTTCCTGTCCTGTCCCCAGCTCCCACCTGGACCCTGTCAGTCCCCACTCCACTCTCCAGGGCAGCAGTGCCACCACCCCGGAGCATCCCTCTGTCATTGACCCACTGATGGAGCAGGACGAGGGCCCTGGCACACCCCCGGCCAAGCAGAGCACCCCCGGCTCCAGGTCAGCAGATGCATGCCACGAGCCTTCCATCCGTGCACTTGGCTGAGCGGGGTGGGTCCGGGGGGTCATTGTTGGGGCCCAAGCACATCCTCTGAGGGACGTGGGTCCCAGCGCCGCCCTGCGCTGCAGACGGCACACCGGCTTGTCAGGATTTGGGGTGGGGAGCACGCCAGTCCTTTTTTCCTCCCTCCGTCCTGCCCTCTCTCCCTTTCTTTCTCTCGTTTTCTCACTGACTCATTCTTAGCTCTGCCTTTTTTCTTTCTCTCCTCCTTTTCTCACTCACTTGTTTTCTGATTCTGTCCTTAGACAGAATCCCACGGTCATCCCCCAGCCAGGCCCCGGGCTCTGGCCATCAACAGCAGTGTTGCCCCCAAGGAGCTCTAGGTTTGAGGGTGGCAGACCAGTGTCCAGGCATGTGCAGCACAGCCGGAGTGCTGGGAGGGGCGCCAGGGGCCGCGATGGAACAGTCATGAGGAGCATGGCAGGGCAGTGACAGCTAAGTCACAGCTCATCACGGGATGAGCAGGGGTTAGCCGTGCAAAGGGCGGGCGTGAAGAGACGTCCGGAGGAGGGAGCGGCATTAGTGTGGGCAGGAGCTGGCGGGGAGGTGGGGGAGGGTCACACAGGCTGGGTCCTGAGGCAGTCACTCTTCAGTCTTGGACAGAGCCCTTTCTCGGGTTCGACCTTAATGAACTGTTCAGAGAAGTTTGAGGCTGGAAGCTGGGACATCTTCAGGGCTTTCCTACTTGTGACCGTTCACTGTGCCCATTATGGCTACCCTTACCTGCAGCAAAATTTTCGTCACCGGCTGGCTCCCCCGCTGAGGTCCTGCTCATTCGGTTCTGTTGCTGTCCCGTCTCCTTCACTCAGTTTGTTTGCCAGCCTTTCAGTGTCCCTGTGCTGTGAGTTCCTTGAGGCAAGGGGCCCTGCTGCTTGGTTTAGTGCCATCTGGGCCATAGAAGCTGCTCAGTAAACATTTGCTGGATGAGTTGTGCCCTGGCTGGTGAGCCTGGCTCTGCAGTTCTCTGCAGGAGAATAGAGTTAGGAAAACAAGTGCAGTCCAGGTGCGCAAGACATAGCCCATGGTGTGTGATGGACAGCTGGGCTGGAAAGCAGGGGTGTTGATTTCCACTCTGTTCCCAAGTGGCTTTGTGACCCGGGGTCACGTGTTCACCTCCACCAAACCTCAGCATCCTGCCTACAAACCGGGTCACTAGAACTAGAGGCTGTGTCGGCCCGCCTCCCAGCTCCTGTGGTTCTGAGAGCTCGTGAGACCGTGGCGGGGGGGGGGTGGGCAGCAGAAAACGGTTAGGGCGTCACCACTGTTTCATCTTTCTCATGTCTTCCTCCCTCCCTGTGCACAATTGAAGAGCTTCATTTTCCTCCCCATAAGGATGGTGGGAGATGCCACCAAGAAGACCCCAGAACCACGAGTTGTTTTCATCAAGAAGTCCCAGCTGGAGCTTGGCGTGCACTTATGTGGTGGGAACCTGCATGGGGTGTTCGTGGCCGAGGTGGAGGACGACAGTCCTGCCAAGGGCCCCGACGGCCTCGTGCCTGGGGACCTCGTCCTTGAGGTGAGTTCTGCGCCCTCTGAGCAGCAGCCGGGCTGCTCTCCGCCCGCACGTCGGGCTTGCCGCCGTCTCAGTCGGCACAGGAGGTGGAGGAGCACAGCCTCTGCTGGCGACCGCTGTGTGTGGGTGTTGGATGCCGCCCAGACCCCTGCTGGGTAGATCATGGGGAAGCGGGCAGGGGGGCCCTGGCTCGGGCACTGGTGTCCGGAGGGGAGATGCTCTGCTGTTGTCAGTGGGAGGACTCAGGACTGGTCTGATGGCGAGGGCCATCTCCCGCTCATTGGGTCTCCTGTGGGGTGGAGGAGGTGGGTCGTAGGTACTCAAAGATAGCAAGGAGCATAAGCAAGGTGAAGGGCTGTGTTTCCGATAAGCCTTACTTGCGGGGGGACTAGAACAGGGTTTCTCCTGGGAGCAGCTGTTGAGGGTAGAGCAGACACTCAACAGAGGACTCAGCCTTACCTGCGGAGGTGGGGCAGATGGATGCCCAGTGAACGGGATGCTGAGTCTCACCCTTACCCTACACCTGGCCGCTCGCGGGTGCCCAAGATGCCCAGCTTCTGCCCTCTGACCCCAGTCCTCCGTCTCTGGGTAGTACGGTAGTCTGGACGTGCGCAACAAGACGGTGGAGGAGGTCTATGTGGAGATGCTGAAGCCCAAGGACAGTGTCCGCCTGAAGGTGCAGTACCGCCCTGAGGAGTTCACCAAGGTCAAGGGCCTGCCTGGCGACAGCTTCTATATCAGGTACCAGTGGCCAGGGTTGCCGGGGACTTGGGGCTAGGGGAGGGGCTTTTGGTGAAGGCTCTTCCCTGTGAATGTCCCCATGTTTCTTGCCCCCAAAGGGTGGGGCCGTGAGCATTATTACTTGGGCCCCAAATTGGAAGCTCACGACGAGATGCTTATGACTTAGAAAAACCCTCGAAAGCTCCCAGGGCCAGATGGGCTCCCTCTTTAGGGTTTAGGGCCTGGTGGGGAAGTTTGAGACCACAGAGCCTCACTTTCCTGTGGGCTAGGCTCCTCTCCTGGTCTCCTCTGACCCAGGTCTGCAGATCCCTCTGCAGCGTGTGTGGGTGTCAAGGCATCCACAGTACCCCGAAGTACTATATGCAGTGTGTGTCTGAGGCAGGCATCGGGCGTTTTCCGGGAGGTGCTCAGCTTTCTTCATGTCCCCTAAGATCTGAGGCCACACGAGAATGGAAAGCACTGATCGATCGTGTACCGTGAGGTGGGGGGGGGGTCCCTGTCTCTAGGGAACCCCTCCTCAGTTGAGGATGGCATGTTTCCCTTCCGGGAAGTTTCTAGTCTGTAGGAACCGTCAGCCTTGCCTCAGGGGAGGGACGCCAATGGGAAAGGCCCATCTGGAATGGAGATAACGGCCTTGGTCCTTGGCAAGAAGTCTTTTATGTGATGGGCATGAGGCAGCCCTTGTCTCCAGGGAGCCTGGTCTCAGGGGAGGAAAGGGCAGTCTCTGTCCTGTCATGTAGAGCCTGGGCTCCCCTCTTTGGGAACCACTGCTAGGCTGGGGCGAGGCTGGTCCTGATCAGCCTCTGGGGTCTGGGGAAGGTTCAGAGCAGGAGAGCGGCTCTAGGGGAATGGCTGCAAAGGGCAGCCAGCGGCCTGACCTGCCCTCTCCACTGCCCGGTCCAGGGCCCTCTATGAGCGGCTGGCAGAGGTGGAGCATGAGCTGAGCTTTAAGAAAGATGACATCCTCTACGTGGATGACACCTTGCCCCAGGGCTCATTTGGGTCCTGGATGGCCTGGCAGCTGGATGAGAATGCCCAGAAGATCCAGCGCGGGCAGATCCCCAGCAAATACGTGTGAGTGTTCTCGAGTCTGGGCCTGGGGCTGGGGCGGGCGGCACCTGTGGGGATGCCCCATGGGATGCGGGCTGGGGCTCATGGGGGTTTATACTGATGCTCGTATCAGCTTCTGGTCTGTACGTTTCGCCACGATTGCTTGTCCAAAAAGCAATTTTGGTCCTAGTGTAGGTCAGTGCTGTACTTAAGTCGGTGCTATACAGAAGCACAGGGGCAACTTAGGAGACAGCACTTTTTTGTTTTTAACAGGTTTGTTGAGACATGATTCACATACCATACAATTTACCCAAAGTGTACAGTTCACTGGCTTTTAGTATTTTCACAGATGTGCAACCATCACCGTAGTCGATTTGAGAACATTTTCGTCACCTCAGGAAGAAGCCCCGTTAGCTGCCCCGCCTTGTCTTTCTGTCTGCCCTGCCCCCTCCTGTCAACCCTGAGCGCCCACTGATCGTTCTGTCTCTGTAGACTTCCCTGTCTGGACTTTCACGTGAAGGGAGTCATATAGCACGTGGTCTTTTGTGACTGGCTCCTTATCCTTGGCGTGATGTTTTTCAGGGTTCTTCGTGTGTTACAGTGTCTATCTGTGCTTCGTTCCTCTCGGTGGCAGGAGGCATAACTTGTAGTGGTCACGCGTGAAGGCTGTCTTAGCAGCTCCTTCTGACCCTCGTCTGACTCTAGGAGGTGGCCCTGTATTCTGAGAGCTTGCCCAGCACTGGTGTGTGTGTATCACCCTCACAGCAGTGGCACCATGGCGTCCTCAGTAGTGTGGGTGGTGAAGCGGCCAGGAAACCTGTAGAGAATGTGGGAGGAGCCTGGAGTCCCAGCTCTGGCTCTCCTCGCGGCTGGGCATGCGGGGAGGTGATGGTCCCTGGGCCCTCCGCAGCGCTGCTGTACTCTTGTCCACAGGATGGACCAAGAATTCTCCCGGAGGCTCAGCATGTCTGAAGTCAAGGATGACAACACCACCGCAAAGACGCTCTCGGCGGCTGCACGCAGGTCCTTCTTTCGAAGGAAACATAAGCATAAACGCAGCGGGTCCAAAGATGGGAGAGACCTCCTTGCCTTGGACACCTTTTCCAACGACTCCATTCCACTCTTTGAAGGCAAGTGGCTGGGCTGGCTTTCTCCAGCAGGCTCGCAGGATGAGGTGTGCTGTTGACCACAGGAGCCTCACCACAGTGACTTAAACAAGATAGAAGTTTGCTTTGCTTTCACACATAACTGATCCAGGGATGTGTGTCTGGGTTGGGATGGCGGTGCTACTGTCTTCAGAGTGTCTGCCACCTGTAGGGTGTGGCTTCCATCCTCAAGGTCTTCCCACGGTCATTGCAGCTTCTGCCATCACGTTCAGGCAGCAGGGAGGAGGAAGGGGCACGGCAAAAGTGTGCCTCTTTAAACAGCTTACCTGGAAACCCCACCCTTGGTCTCCCACTTATTCCTCATTGGCCGCTCAGTCTGCGAGGGAGGCTGAGAAGGCAGGACTTTCACTGATGACCTGCTGTCTTCAGTAATGCGGGTTCTGTTAGTAAGGAATAAAGGAAAGATGGGTATTGGGTACGCAAAATGCAGTCTCTGCCCAGTGCATTGCTTCCAGTTCGTTTCTGGGTTATTACTGGCTGCTTGCTGGTGACCAAGGGCCACTGTGCAGATCTTTGGCCGTGTTTGGCCTTACTCCTGTGTGTGTCCATTCTTTTTTTCTTATTTTTTTTGGCCGTGTTGGGTCTTCGTTGCGGCGCGCGGGCTTTCTCTAGTTGCGGCGCGCAGGCTTCTCACGGCGGTGGCTTCTCTTGTTGCGGAGCACGGGCTCTAGGCGTGCGAGCTTCAGTAGTTGTGGCTTACGGGCTCTTGAGCACAGGCTTGGTAGTTGTGGCGCGCGGGCTTAGTTGCTCTGTGGCATGTGGGACCTTCCCGGTCCAGGGATCCGACCCGCGTCCCCTGCATTGGCAGGCGGATACTTAACCACGGCTCCACCAGGGAAGTCCCCTCCTGTGTCCATTCTTCCAAGATCCTCCCAGGGCCAGGTGCTGTCCCAGTCCTGGAGTTGCGTATTAGGCAGCATCAGACATCCTTCGGCAGACTGCCCCGTGGAAGGGTTCATTTGTCCTGTGAAGCAGGAGCCTCCTGTGAATGCTGCTCTGAGGACCCCCGTGTGTGTCCACTGTCCCAGAAGGTGTGCCCTCCCTGCTGGCAGGGTGTGGAGGTGGCAGTGGGCCTCAGAAGGTGGGACAGCTGGTTTCCTCCTCCTCTCCTTCCTTATTTATTGTTTCAGTTAGGGCCTTAGTCACAGTGAGTTGAGTGAGTCCCACCTTTGTTCATGGCCCACAGGTCACTGTCAGTGAGGACAGGGGTTGGCAAGCCATAGCCTGTGGGTCAAGTCTGGCTGTTTTTATATGGCCTTTGAGCTAAGAGTAGGTTTTTACATTTTTAAATGTAAAATAGACTCTTCACCTTTTGGCAGTAATAGTTGCTTGATTCTCCCTTCCCTTTTCTTCCGTAGACACCATCTCTTGTGTATTTGGTGTATGTCTAGTGGATGTCTTTGGAAAACAGCCATATGTCTAGTCTTCCTTTCAGTTCTTCAGTGGGTTGTTTTTTTTTTTTTTTTCTTTCATTATGTATTTTGAAGTGGTCTTTAAATTGTTATTTCTAAATTGTTATATCTTACTGTTAAATTGACTCTTATCATTATGTCCTTCTTTATGTCTAGAAATGTTTCTGGCCTTAAAGTCTATTTTGTTTAAGTATTATTAACACATCAGCTTTCTTTTGGTTAGTGTTTGCATAGTTTGCCTTTTTCCATCCTTTTATACTTTCCTGTAGCTTTATAATTACGTGGCTCTGCAGGAAGCATGTAGGGTTTTTTCAACCCACTGTGATACTTCATCTTTTTTCATTTTATTGAGATATAATATATGTATAGAAAAGCGCACATACATCTACAGAAAAGTGTACATCCCGAGGCGTTTTCACAATTTGAACACACCTGTGACAGTCTTTCTCGTTTAATCAGAGTATTTAATCACTGATTAAATCATGACTGATATATTTACCGTCTTCCAGTTTTTTTCCTGTTGTCCTGCCTGTTTTATGTTCCCTTCACTTCCTTTTCTTCCTTTTGGATTAATCAAGCATTTTTATTATTCTGTCCCCCCATCTGTTAGTTTTTAGGTAATCATTTTGTTTTACTCTTTGGTGGTGGCGGGGGGGTAGATTCCAGCAACCCTCATGATATATATCTCTGACCTACTGCTAACATGAATCATTGCTTTGACCGCTTCTCGATTAATTCTAAAACATCAGAGCACTGTGACGACTTCTTTACCTCCCCCCCACCTTTTGCATTATCATTTTCATTTTACATATATTTTAAATCCAACAGTGTTACTGATTTGCATGTCAGTTATTCACTTATATTTATCCTCTCCATTATTCTTCATTCCTTCCTGCAATTCTCTTTCCTTCTGATCTTTTCTTTCAGCTGAACACTCCCTTCAGCATTTCTTTTTTTTCCATCTTAATGGAGATATAACTGGCACATAATATTGTGTGAGTTTAAGGTGTACAGGATGATAATTTGATAGGTGTATATGTTGCAAATGGTTTACCACAATAAGGTTAGTTTAACACATCCTTTACCTCATATAACTACCATTTTCTTGATGTTATGGTGACCTTCAGCATTTCTTGTAATGCAGGTTTGTTGGTGACAAATTCTCTATTTTTTTGGTCTATTTTCCCATCATTTTGGAGATTTTTCACTGGATGTAGAATTTTAGATTAGTAGATGTTTTACTTACGCATTTTAAAGATATAATTCATTGTCTTCTGGCTTTCATTGTGTATCTGTTTCCTGGGGCTGCTGTAACAAATGTCACAAGCTTTGTGGTCAGCACAGCATACATTGATTCTCTCACAGTTCTGGAAGCCAGAAGTCCAAAATGAGTACCACTGGGCCAAGATCAAGGTGCTGGCAGGTCCACACTCCCGTGGAGGCTCTAGGGGGGAATCCGTTAGGTCCGTTGGTCTGTAGTGTTGTTCAAGTGCTGTTTCCTTATTGATCTTCTGTCTGGTTGTACTATCCATAACTGAAAGTGGGGTATTGAAGTCCCCTACTAATACTGTGTTGGTGTCTGTTTCTCCCTTCAGTTTCATCAGTGTTCACTTCACTTATCTGGGAAGTCTGATGTTGGGTGCATATGTGTTTATGATCGTTGTATCTGTCTGGAGAAGTGACCCTTTTATCATGCTATAATGTCCTTCTTTGTCTCTTGTGGCAGTTTTTGTCTTAAAATCTATTTTGTCTGATACAGCTGTGGTCACCCCTGCTCTCTTTAGGTGCCCGTTTGCATGAATTATTTTTTTTCCTATCCTTTCACTTTTCGCCTATGAATGACCTTAGAGCTTAGGTGAGTCTCTTGTAGACAGCATATAGTTGGATCTTTTTTATTTATGCATTCAGCCAGTCTACGTCATTTAATCCATTTATATTTAAAGTAATTACTGATATGGAAGGACTTACTATTGCCATTTTGTTAGTTTTCTGTATGTCTTGTTGCTTTTTTGTCTGTCTTTTCCTCCTTGGCTGCTGCCTTCTGTATTTCATTGATTTTTTAAAAAATTTTTATAGTGACATGTTTGGATTCCCTTCTAGTTTCCCTTTGTGTATATTTTATAGATATTTTATTTTTGGTTACCACTGCAGTTACATAAAACATCTTAAGGTTATCACAATTCATTGTAAACTGATGGTAGCTTAATTTCAATCCTGTATAAAAACTCTACTTTACATCTCTGGGATCCCGACCCCCCCACCCCCTTTATGTTATGGATGATACCAATTACATCCTTTTTACATTATGTGAACATTAGCGTAGTTTTATTATTACCTTTATGCTTTTGGTTTTAATATCTATACCAGTTTTAAAAGCAGTTTTCATAACTGCATTAGGTTACTTCCAGATTGTCTATTTGTCTGTGTATTTACCCTGCCCAGGGAGTTTTTTATTTTCTCTGGACCTCTGACTCTTGTTGGATTTAGTGCTTGCGAGATGCTCTGTAGCCCCCCTATGATTCTGTAACTATGAGGACTTCCGACAGAGCAGATTATTCGGGGAGGAAAAGGAATCTTCTAAATTGGTGCCCCTCAGTGTGGAATGTTAATAATCATTAGGGGAGAAGATGATTCTGTTCAAGTTAAGTTGAAGACATAGTGATTTAGTGTCCGTACACAGGGAAATGGATAAATAGGTGCAGGGCATCCATCCAGTAGGGTGTTCAGAAGGAGTTAAGGGAGATCAATGTGCATCACCAGGGACGCGGTTCGGAAGCATAAGACTGAGTAGAAGAGGGAGTTGCGGAATGTTGCACGTGTCCTGTATTTTTGGATGTATCATGATACAAAAATGTATCTTGTCATTTTTGTTGAGCACGTGGACGTACATAACATAGTTTCTAGGTGTTTTGAGCCTGTAAAAGTCAACATGTGAGAATGACACCTGGAAGAGGATGTACTTTATATCCTTTAACCAACTATGACGGTGGTTATGAGGAAACTGTTGATGACCAGGACTGGAGAAGAGGTGTTGGAGAGGATGCCTGGCTTTGTCTGTAATGTTCAAAGTTTTAAAAGAGGGGGTGTTTTTATCTCTTCCTGGAGGAAGTTCTTTGCCCTGGGACTCCACAGAGCCTTCAGTCACAAGTATGCGGGGGTCTTGGACAGTGAATGTGATCACCAAACCCTCCCCCTGCTTTAATAACGGATCACCTGGTCACCAGGTTGAGAAATGCTGTATAGGAAGCGATATAGACGTGCCTGGATAATCATCAGACCAAAAAAATGTGTGCGCTTCTGCCTGTGAGCTTGGCGTTTGTGGAGCCGAGCACCGCCCTGTGTGTTCACCTCTAAAGCTCTGCCATCTGGTCCGTCTTCCTTCATCTCCTAGTCACGGGCCTTCCGGGCCGGACCTCTCGTTGACCCTTCCTCACAAGCCCACCTCAGGCGACCCTCCCCTCAGCTCTGCCCCTCCTCATCGCCACTCCCACCCCCCGAGGGTGAGGCTTCTTGTCCCGCTGCCTGGAGCTGGCAGGCAACTCTTGTATGGTTGTCTTGTTTCTTACCTGTTGCCGTCGGTGAGCCTGGTTAGAGCATGAGCTCTGCAGTGGCAGGGACTGTGCTTTCTACTCTTTTTAAAAGTGTTTCCGAGATGCCGGCACAGCGATTGGTACAGGGGAGGTGCCAAGAAGATATTTGCTTGCTGGTTTTTAGGAGGTCACTTCCTGCAAGGATTTTTTTATTCATTTGGTGGAAGGGGAGGTTTTTACTACATGTATCAACTAGGATATTGGTTTGACTGCTGTAACTGAGGCCAGACAACAATGGCTGAAGTGTGATAAGAAGCTTATTTCCCTGCCACATAAAATTCTGAGCTGGTGGGGGGAATCCCTGGGAGGCAGCTCTGTTTTGGGGATCATAAAGGAGCCAGGACCCTTCTGTCCTGTGGCTCTGTCATTTCCTGAGGGTTGTTCTCATCTGCAGGATCAGAGCTGGCTCACTGCACCCGGTCCTGTCCATTTCAGCTCATGGGAAGGGGGAGAGTTTGCTCACCCCACGGGGCAGGCCTGGGTCACATGACCACACCTACCTCAGGGGAGGTTGCCTCTCTAGAGAGCAGAGAATATATACTAGGGGTGAGGGGAGGGCGCATTGGACACACACGGAAGCATTTGAGCGGGATGAAGTGCTGCAGTGTCTTGGGTGTCCGTGGAGCAGGGACACTCTGCTGGACTCCAGGAGCGGCCGGGCCCCGGTGTGCCCAGGGTATGGGACTCTCAGTGCTACAACTGGGCAAGTCCCAGACAAACCAGGGTGAGCTGGGTAGCTGGCTCCGGATTTGTGGAGTGAAGGAGGTGGGCATCCCTGGGGTAAAAGCAAGGTCAGGGGAGCCGTGGGTCCCCAGCCCCTCCCTTTCCTCCCTCTGCTCCAGGTGGGTGTCCATGACACTGCTCCCCTCTCTCCCTCAGATTCGGTGAGCCTTGCCTATCAGCGGGTCCAGAAGGTGGACTGCACCTCCCTGAGGCCCGTCTTGATCCTGGGGCCTTTACTGGATGTGGTGAAGGAAATGCTCGTGAACGAGGTGCCCGGCAAGTTCTGCAGATGCCCCCTTGGTAAGGGATGCCCACGTGCCTGCTGGGCTGTGTCCGTCCCTGTGTTTGTGTTCATCCCCCTGTTCCCGGGCATGGATCCCAGGATGTTTCAGAGTCCCCTGGACTTGGCTCAGATCAGTGTGCAGCCTCTGGTTCTTTGTCCGGGAGCGAGGACAGCAGGGCTGGGTTCCTAAAGTCTCTTCTGCACAGCGTTCTTCCTGGCACGTGCAGTGACGGCTCATGGTGCCAGGGCATTCCTGATTCCTGTGTCTGTGCTTTGCAGAGGTGATGAAGGCCTCCCAGCAGGCCATCGAGCGGGGCGTCAAAGACTGCCTGTTTGTCGACTATAAGCGGAGGAGTGGCCACTTTGACGTGACCACAGTGGCTTCCATAAAGGAGATCACAGAAAAGGTACCTGTTGCTTCAGACCAAGGGATGGGAGCGCCTCTCTGAGTCCGGGGTTTGGACCCCAGTGCGTGTCCAGGCTCTGTACCTTTGCACATCTGCCCTGCATGTCTCTCGGACCTTCATGAGCTCGCCTGTGTCCCGTTAGTCTGAGTTAACCTACAGGGGCTGGCCCCCGTTGCTTCTTGTGCTTCCGTTTTCGTGAGTAGGAAGCTAGTCCTGGGCAGAAGTCGCCCTGTACGTGTGTCACCTCTCCCTCTCTGAGGGGCTCTGACGAGAGCTTTGAACTCTAGGAAAGGCCCCTCGCAGGGGTTTCTACAACAGGGTCCCAGAATGCCTCTGCTGAGCTTGTGTGCTGAGCTGATGTGCCTCATTCTAGGGACAGGGGCACGGCTTCCGTCAGGGCCACGACCTTGCAAGGATAAGAGCCGTTGCCACGTGCCTTTAGGCTTGTGAACACGCTGGGGTCTGTTTGCCAGGTAGTATGAGGGGAAGTGGGGAGATCTTTTGGGAAAGCGTCCCTCACAAGCCTGAGGATGTGGGCGCTTTCTGGGCTGCATCCTTCCTGGGTGGTCAGTTTACCCCGCCAGGCTTTGGATCCCTCCTGTTACGTGAGGGAGTTGACTTCTTACAGCTGTCAGTGCAGACTGCCCAGTTAAAGTGGACGAGCTCCAGTCAGGGGTGCCCCGGGACGTCAGGAAGCCTGCCAAAGGGTGGACCCCCTCAGTGGAGCTTTCGGGGTGCCCGTGGCCTGCCTTTGGCTCGTACTCTGCCTGGAGGCTCGTACTCTGCCTGGAGGCTCAGGGGATTCATGGGATGCATTTCAGTCACAGCCATGCAAAGACCCACACTCCCCCTCCCCTGCTTCAGCCCCCCCGCCGAGTCTCCGCATCTTCTTTTGCCTGGACTGGCGGAAGTGAGGTTTCTGGGGCCAGGTGGGGTAGCGCTTTAGGAAGCGCTTTCCTATATCTGGGTGAAGGCAGGAAAGGGAGTTTGGAGTAGGGTCGTCCAGACCCCGCTTGGCCCTGGTTCCCAGCCTGGACCATCATCACAGCTGACGGCTTGTGGGGAGAGATTTTCCCAGATGAGGTTTCCCCTCCATGTATCCTGTGTGGTCTTAACGAAAGACTGGTTTTGCTGCCTCGTTCGTTGGTAGAACCTTGTATGTTCACTTACAGGGCAAGGCAGGGCAGTGTCAGGGGAGGGGTGGGGCCCATCGGTGGCAGAGGAAGGCTGGACTGTCCAGTGCTCCCGAGGCCCCGGCCACGCACCTGCCCAGGTGTTCACTCTCTCCCTCCCCCCAGAACCGGCACTGTCTCCTGGACGTCGCCCCCCACGCCATTGAGCGGCTGCACCACATGCACATCTACCCCATCGTCATCTTCATCCACTACAAGAGCGCCAAACACATCAAGTAGGTGACAGGCTCCTCGGGGGCTTGGCTTGGGGCCTTGCTGGGGAGGCGCTGCTGGCTCAAAGCCGTGGGGTGGGGGGCCCCTTGGCCTTGAAATAGGCATCCCATGTCGGAGCGGCCTTCCCTCTCGAGCCCCCATCTCACACTGAGCCAGGCATGTGAACCCAGCACAGCCCTCCCTCCACACCACTCTCCGCGCTGTTCGGATGCTGCCGCCGCTCCCTGAGTAGGTCCAGCTTTTCTGTCTCCTCTCCTGACTCCCAGCCCCTTTCCCCTTCTCCTGCCTCTCAGCTGGGCACTCACAACAGCACAGGAACTGGGTGGCCTGGCCTGGGTCCAGCTCTGCCAGGAGCTGGCTCTTGATGTGGACGGGCCTTTGCTCCCACTGGGCTTGAGTTTCTGTGCAGGTTGGGCTAACGGCTTGCCAAGGTCCTCTTCCACTTTGCCTTCCTGTGCTTCCGGGCTTCTGATACCTGCACTCGGGCGCCAGCTGAGGTGTCTGGTCTCTGTGTGCACACACTGGGGTTCCCACCTTGCCCCTCTCTGCCCGGAGCTCCCCGTGGAGCCTGCAGGCTGTGCTTTACCAGGGGGAGCCCATGGGGGCCCTGTGGTGGTGGAGACCCCTGTTACTCTGGGCAGAGAAGCAAAGAGGTGGGAGGGCCGGGGGGAGGTGAGAAGCTCAGCCTGGTTCCCTGGATGTCCCAACAGGGAGCAGAGAGACCCCATCTACCTGAAGGACAAGGTGACTCAGAGGCATTCCAAAGAGCAGTTTGAGACGGCTCAGAAGATTGAGCAGGAGTACAGCAGGTTCTTCACAGGTAGGTGTGCGTCAGGCCTGCAGAGGAGGAGCAGGCAGCGGGGACGGATGCAGGCTTCCCAAAGACGTCTTCCTAGAAGTGGTAACAGCCCGCACTTCCGGGGTGCCCGGTGGATGCTGGCACAGTGAGCACTTTCATCACAGCTGGTCTGATGGCAGGCCCAGGGCAGCTTCAGGAAGTTGCAGGTCCAAAGGTAAAGTCCACTAATTCTGGCCTTGGGTCACAGTCTGGCCCTGTGTGGCGGCTGCACAGGCGCCCTGTAGCACAGCTCCAGCGTTCCCTGGGCGGGTAGCACGGCGGTGGTGGCCGTGACCATCTGTCCCCAGCGCCTTCCAGGTCAGGCCAGTTTTGCAGTGAAGTTTGAAGATAAGCTGCATCTTCACTATCTCTGGTCTTTGAAACAAAGCAAACCAGGAGAAGCAGGGTTCCAGTTGACCAACTGCCATTTCACTTTATGACTTTCAGCCTCTTCCGTGAAAGCAGTCATTTGTAGGGGGCATAATAACACCGTGGCCACAGAGAGGTGGAGACAGTGATTTTAATTAACTTGCGGAGAGTGTTGTGATCTAGTTCGGTGCTTCTCATGCAACATTTGGCCTCAAAACCCAGCCTCGGTGCTTCTGTCTACGTATGTGTCATGTGTGTTTGTGTTTTAATTTCCAGTCCATTACAGACCAGTATTTCAGTCAGATACATTAACAAGTACTAGAGAAGAGAACATTAAAAACTCCAAAACTTAACAAAATAAAAGCCTTGACTTTTTGTAAGATTCAACAGATGTAAAATTACTCTGTCACATTTCCGTAGCAGTTTCTAAACCCTCGCTGTCCATTTCTGTGGCAAGCAGCCAGCGCTCGGCGCTGTTCCGTGGATCCCGCAGAGAGCCCTGGTCTAGTGTCTGCCGGGCTGTGGTGCTGAAAGCCTGCAGAGCAGGCCTGAGCCAGAGCTGGAGACATTCCATCATCTTTGCTGGGAATCTTCTCTGGGCCATGGGATGCCCAGCTTCCGAGACCCAACCTTGTCACCTGTAGGATCCTGCTGCCGATTGGACCATCACAACACAGCCCAGACTGCCTTCCAGTGTGCTGGGACTCCCCATTGCATGACTAGGCAAAGCAGCCCAGAGCATCATTGCAGTGGGGCCTGGCCATTCATGTGTGTGGTCAGATCCTGTCATCCCTATTATAGGGACCAGGGCAGCCTGGCAAAATGGGACACCAGCCTTCATTTGAGCGTAAAATTTTAACATCCTATGGAACAGTTGCCGAGAGGGATAGGTAAAAAGCCGAAGTGATTTGCACTCAACTCTTTATTTTTCCTTTTCCAATTTCTCACTGATGGAAGAGACTGAGAGGCGGGAGTGGGGCAGGAGGGCCAGGTAGCTCAAAACAGGCAGAACGCCAGGAAGAGTAAAAGATGTGTTTATTTGCCTTCACCCTGGGGTCTTCCTCTGGGCCAATGACGTGTGTGTTTGGGGGCTCTCTTGCAGGGGTCGTCCAGGGAGGAGCCCTGTCGAGCATTTGCGCTCAGATCTTGGCAATGGTCAATCAAGAGCAGAATAAAGTCCTGTGGATCCCAGCCAGCCCTCTCTAGGACTCGGTGCTGGGGACGGCTGCAGCTTGGCCGCCGGCGTGACTGCCGGGCTCAGCTCTCTGTAGCGACTAAAGATAGACGCCTCTGTATATAAACGCGAAGGGGAAGGATCCATGAAGCAGGACTCCAGAAGCACCTCCTTTGTAGACAGAGGGCCGCAGACTCTATTCCTCTCACTCGTGCGCCGTAAGACAGAAGACTCTGTAGAGGGGCTCGACACCAACCTTTCTCGTAGCCAGCTCATCAGAGATGCTGCAAAGAGAACCTTTCAGATCACAAGTTTACAAGCCTTTTCTAAGTATTCGGTTGTTTATGTTTACTTGAACGGCTCCATGTTGTCGCTGCCCAGCCCCTGCCCTTTTCCTCACTGTCGCTTTGGTGTTGGTTTTGTGCCTGTTTTCAGCGAGACGACTCTGGAGCCTCGCTGGGGGCCGCTTTGCTTTGGGAGGTTCTTGTCAGTGGGACCAGAGCTTTGACAAACTTCATGCTCCTTGGTGGTACCTCTCCTGGAAGGACCTGCGAGTGCGGATGCTTCGACCGTGACCGTCGGCGGGCGCGGAACCAGTGCCTTTGTGGGGCAGACTCTCCGGCGGCAGCGTATTCCCCTCCTGCACAGAGGAGGGCGACTTGCCCGTCTCGCGGACGCGCCCCTCAGACTTCGTCTCCGGCCCTCTGCGTCCTCTTCTCGTCCACCTGCATCCATGATTCCAGCGTTCTCTCTGGCCCTCGGAGCTTCACGGGTTCACTGTGACACAGCCGGTTCCAGGCAGGGTGTTAGGCTGGGGCTGATGCATGCCACTGGGTCCTCTTTAGGTTCTGTGAACAGTGACAGCCTTTACCAGTGCAGATTTTGCAGGGTAATTCCTAAGCGCTCTAGAGTGGGGCGGGCACATCAGCTCTACTTGATATAAAAACATTCGTGTTTCAGACTTTGAGCAGAGAACCCTTACGGAAGCTTAAGGATTAGTGCAGTCACTGTCAAAACTCAAAGAGAAACCGGGATCTATCTAGTTTTGGCTCCAGCGCTTACAGCATGAGCAGTGCTCCACGGGGATGGCTTTGTTTGGGGTTTGTGTGTGTTTTTTCTTTTTTTTTTTCTACCGCTTCTGACGCTGGATGTTTCTGGCTGAAGGTTTGATCTGGTTCCTCAAACTGTGCGTCCTCTTAATAATAGGTACTGTACGGGGCTCCGGGTAAGTGTCACTGGGGTAGGACCTCTATTTTAATACTGTTCCTAACATTTCATTTTACTAGCAAGAAATCGCTGATTTCATTTTATTCTTTGTAATTCTAGACACTAGATTATAGTTTAGCCATAGTGACATTTTTTTAAAAAAGGGATATATTTTCTTGCACAGTTGTTCGAAAAGAGACACGTTTCAGTCCTCAGTGCTGCCCTTCGTTTCACAGGTACACGCGTTCTGGCTCAGACAACTGGGACCCCCTGCAGGCTGTCGAGGGGTCTCACTGGCGCCCTGCGGGGCTGCTGCTCTGGGCGGCGGGGGTGGGACGGTGATGGTACAGTGTGCACAGGTACTGTTCGGACAGACTGGGATTTTCTGTACTAAAACCTTCCTTTGTATCGAAAGTTAAACAGACTTTAGTACAATAAATAAAGGTCAATTTCTGTAACTTGTTGTGGTGAGGAGACCTGCATTCATTGAGTTTCCACCTTTCCCGCCTCCTGCGCTCTCTTTGTTGCTAAATTTGAGGCCGCCTTCCTCCCCTGAGGCAGGTGGCTGGAATCGCCGCCACGTGAGGTTCTCGCCAGCTCTCATGATGGTCAGGAGCCCCTCTTAGCTGTGGCCTCAGCCCCTCTGACTCCCTCCTTCCCTCCCACGTGTCCCTCTGTCCAGCAGAGCTGTGGCTAGTGCCTGCGGCCAGGCAGCTGATTTGTGCAAGATTCAGATCCTGCCGTGGGGGCTCCCATTCAGATATGCAGGTTTGGGCTGGGCCGAGAAAAGCAAAGGGGGTTTGAAGGACGCCAGTGTCCCCTCGTGTTCTCAGTCAAGTCCCTGTCTGCCAGGGGGTGAGGCCCAGACCGGGCCCCCGGGGTGAAGAAGGCCGAGCCTGGCCCAGGGGCTGTAGTGCGAGACCACCCACGGCTCTCCTGGGTAGCCACTCTGGGCCTGAAAGTCTGTTCCAGGGTGGCAGGAAGGCTGGGAGAAGTGGCCAGGAGGCCCAGCTCAGAGCAGAGCCCTCCTCCTCTGCTCTGTTTGCTCAGAGGAGCTTGAGGGCAGACTCCCGTGGAGAAGCCTCACGCCGCGCCAGAGGCTGGACCAGCAGGGGCCGACTCGGCGCCAGTGCCTCCCTGGTCATGGCCCACGGGTGCAGCTCCACTGTGGACCCTGCAGTCTCACCTGCAGGTCCCTCTGGCCTTGCCTGCAGCCACAGGGGTCGCCGAGCTGCGTCGGACTGTGGCCGTGGAGAGGAGGGGAGGGCCTGTGCAGCCGGCGGGTCCCAAGCCCGCCGCTCCTCAGCCTGCGTGAAGCCAGCCACAGGGTCGCCTACATCTTCTTGACAAACTCAGCACTGACCTTGGGGGAGGAGGGCGTGCGCCGCGGCCTGGATCCTGTGACCCACCCAACAAATGCTCGTTTGAGGACATGGTTTCTATTAAAAGAGGTCCATGACGATGCCAAAGCCATGGCAGCTCACACTTGTTGCGTTATGAGTGATTTTTATTTTCTTCTTTAGACTTTTCTGTACTTTCCAAGTTTTCTGCGGGAAACTTGGTTTTCTTTTACAATCGCAGGGTAAAACCGCTACGCCTCTTCAAACGGAGGGCAGTTAGGTCGCTGAGCTCATAGACTGCTTGTTTCTGGATGCGCTGAGGCCTTGCAGGGCTGCCCCTGGGACACCGCTGAGTGGCACTGGGTTGGCACGGGTGTGCAGTTGTGTTTGTCTCTAAACCGTGCAGAGCCCAGGCAGGGGCTGGAGGTGCGCAGCCTTTGCCCCCAGTTGGTGTCTGTCGTACGCAGGCTCAGATCCTTCTGGAAAGGCACAGCTGACTTTCAACTCCAGCCTTGAGGCCTTGGACAGATCTCGCCTGGGCCTCCAAAGACAGTGCAGACGAGATGACCACTGAGGCCCCCTCCCATGCTGACACCTGAGTTATGGGCGCGGAGTGGGACTTCCCTCCTGGCCTTGCAGAGCCTGAGCAAAACCCCAGCTCTGGGAGCCTCGGCACACGTGACTTTCTGAGACTGGAGGAGTCCTTGACGCCTGATGCGCAGGAGCAGAAGCCGAAGGGGTCTGGACCGGGAGCCAAACGCTGGCCCAAAGTCCTGGGCCTCTCTGGCCGGAACAAGGCTCTGAGGCTGACCAAAGTGGCTGGACAACTGGAGTTTGGGGCTGGGAAGCTGAGCTGCCGCCCCTCTCGGGGTTGACAGGGCAGAGGGCCACCCGGGTCACGGATGCCAAGGACGGACGGAGAGAAATAACGAGGAATTGCCGGGTGGGGTGCAGAGCAAGCATGATCTCACAGCTGGGAGTGTGGCTGGCATGGAGGCGACCATCTTCTTGCAGGGGATGGGGCTCCAAGGCCCGAGCCTGGACAGCCGGGCCTTCTCCCCTGCACCCTTCTGCTGCTCTTCTCCCTGTGGCTTTCCTGGACCTTATTTCAATCATGCATGCTCTTTTTTTCATGTGCTCACACCTTCCAGAATGTAGTCTCTGGCTTCTTGATGGTTTTCCCCTTCAGGTCTCCTTGCTATTTTGAGTTTATATCATTTTTTTCAACCGTGAAATGTGTCATACATACGGAAGAGCATATACAGTATAAATATACGGTCTAAAGAATAATAAAATGGACAGTGCGTCCACTGTTAAGGAACACTACCACTACTGTAGAAGCCATCTTAACGCCCAACAGTAGCTGAATTCTCCACCTTTTCCCCCAAAGTGAGCACTGTACTGACTTGTGGTTTAATGATTTCCTTGCTTTTTTCTATTTTCACCCCCAGTGGAGGTGTTTTGAAACAATGTCGTGTGTGGTTTTGAAAACACTGGGCCTCAAGCACACACTGAGCTGTGAGGGCACAGGGCAGCACTGCCACTGTTTGATGACATTCGCCAGACAATATAATGGGCTCTCCGGGGCAGGGCGAGCCTCCGCTTCCCTGGGAACTTTGAAGAGCCCTTTCCCCTTGGGGAAGTCAGTGAGCAGGGACTTGAATGAGTCCTGGGGCGTGTGGCCGTGCCGTGTCTGGCAGAAATATGGTCAGAGGGCGTGGACCGCTGACTGCAGTTTTTAGGCTCACCACAGCCATCCTCTGGATTTCAGCAGTAAGCCAAAGCTGAGCACGTCTGTGGGAGGAAATTCTGGTTCCTCTTGCTGATCTGGAGAGCAGGAAGGTCTCCAGCTCATGTCGATAAAAGCCTAGGAGAAATAAGACCCGGGGCCGGGATCACCTTAACGTTCTGTTCTTAGCCGAGCCCTATGAAACGAGCAGAGACTTTGGTGCTGACAGCTCTGGACGTTTCTGTCTTGAGTCCCTGCTCCAGACCAGACTTCTTGTCCTCTTGGTCTGGTGCCAGCCTTCGTCCTGGTACCTCCTCTACTTTCCTGAGGATTTCCTGGGAGTTTTCTTGATTTCTTTCTTTGACTTTCCTCTCCTCTCTTTTGATGGATCTCCTGTTTCTTGTGCTGCTTGTGAGGAGAAAGGATTAACCCCTGATCCGAATTCTTTCTTCAGAGGAAGATGACTCCATTTACCTTCTCTTAGGATCGTTTTCTAGAGAAGTTCTGGATTAAGAAAAAGGCAGGGTCTGTATCCACCATGGTCTGCTGATGGGTGCATCTGGGGTGGGAGGCGTGAGGGCCAAAGTAAACTAACAGATAAACTTGCTGTCGGGTTTCCTCCTCGTCCCCCCTCCTTTCTGGAGCTTCCGTTATTTATATGTTGCACGCCCTGGACAGAGTCCCTCAATTTCTGACCTCCTATTGGCATCATTTCGTCATTTTGCTCTTTTTTGGAGGGGGTTCACTCAGCTGTATCTTTCGAGCCTTTCTGTTGAGTTGTTCAGCTTTTGCTATCCGGTTTTTGATTTCCAAGAACTCTTTCTGAATGTCATTTTTTTTATATCATTCTATGCTTGTTTCTTGGATATAATATCTTCTCACACCTGAAGACAGATATTTTTTCTTCTCACATAATTCTAATTCCTCCAAGGTTTAAGGTTTTTTTATTTGCTGGTAGCTTATTTATTTATTTATTTTGTGGTCTGGGGGATAGCAGGACTGGGGATACCTTGTCTTGTATATTAGCGCTTTAACCTCAGGTATCAGGTAATCCTTTTGTGTCAGCTAATGATTAATCATGGGCATTTAATTTAATGGTCCAGAACAAATGGGGAGGTGTGTAGTCTGAGTTTCTCTAGAGTGGCCTGGTTGGGCTGCTCACTGGGGAATCCTAGTGATGGTCTCCTTAGGTCTGCCTTCCGATTCCCCACAGGAGTCCTTCCACTCCTGATGGGATGGGTCGGCCTGGCAGCATCCCTGAGCCCACTGGGGAAGAAGGCGGGGAGACTCTTTGCATTCAGGATTCAGTACGGCAGCATCCAGTCCCTTAGTCCTTTTCTCTTCAGTATGGTACCAGTTCTCTGATCTGTGCCTGGTGTCCCTAGTCCAGGAATCCTCTCTTACATTCTCCAGGCAAAAAAAACTCCCGGCTTCTTCAGCGTTGAGGGCAGTGCGGTAGCCCTGTAGCTTGGATTGAATCATGCCTGCCCAGATTATCCAGGGTGCTCCCTTACTCTCTTCTTTTAAATTTATTTATTTTTTGGCTGTGTTGAGTCTTCGTTGCTGTGCACACGGGCTTTCTTTAGTTGTGGCGAGCGGGGCTACTCTTCGTTGTGGTGCGCAGGCTTTTCATTGCGGTGGCTTCTCTTGTTGCGGAGCACGGGCTGTAGGCACACGGGCTTCAGTAGTTGTGGCACGCGGGCTCAGTAGTTGTGGCTCGTGGGCTCTAGAGCGCAAGCTCAGTAGTTGTGGCACACAGGCTTAGTTGCTCCACGGCATGTGGGATCTTCCCGGACCAGGGCTCCAACCCATGTCCCTTGCATTGCCAGGTGGATTCTTTTTTTTTTTTTTTTAAAGAAGGTGTGGGGCGTAGAGTTGATTAATTAATTAATTAATTTTTGCTGTGTTGGGTCTTCGTTTCTGTGCGAGGGCTTTCTCTAGTTGTGGCAAGCGGGGGCCACTCTTCATCGCGGTGCACAGGCCTCTCACTGTCGCGGCCTCTCTTGCTGCGGAGCACAGGCTCCAGACGCGCAGGCTCAGTAGTTGTGGCTTACGGGCCCAGTTGCTCCGCGGCATGTGGGATCCTCCCAGGCCAGGGCTCGAACCCGTGTCCCCTGCATTGGCAGGCAGATTCTCAACCATTGCGCCACCAGGGAAGCCCCCAGGCGGATTCTTAATCACTGCGCCACCAGGGAAGCCCAGCCCTTACTCTTAATGTTGACTGATCGCGGCTTTAATCACATCTGCAAAATGCCTTCACGGTAACACACAGCTCAGTGTTTAACTGAATAACAGGACTGTGGCCTTGTCAAACTGACACACCAAAAGAACTGTCCCAGTGGGTTTACCAATAACTTACCTAACCAGTTCCCAACAAATGGGCATTCAGATTAA